GAAAGCATACTTTCTAAAGGAGGGTATTTTTTCCCTACAACATTTCAATTTGAAATTAATTTTAACTTTGGTTAACAAGAGTTTTAGCCAATAAGATTTTAAAAAAAAGTGTTGATTCTGCTCTCAAGATGGAAGTAATTTAGACTTTAAAATACTGAAATGATATTTATCCCAAAGAAAACACTGGTATTTCATTACTTACTATAATATAACACTGTAACTGATAGTGGAATACCAAAATTTGAATTATACAGTCACTGCACCTGACCTTCCTGTACACATCTTAATATTCGCTTTTGTTCCCATATTTTCTGCCAGTGCCATGTTTTGGACAAAACTACCTTTTTGTCATACCTCCTCTCTGAGTCCCTGTTCCTGTGCCTGGTTTCTTCTGACCTCTAGTACTTCCTTCCCTAGTAACTTTATTCTCTCCCTTTCAGTGGTTCCTTTCTGTCAGCTTACATATGCGTGCCTGCTGGCTTTTTGTATTTGGGGTGGGAGATGGGGGTGAATAGCCTGTAATTTAACTCTGCTTGACTGCATTATTTTCTGTTCTTCAGTTTTATGAATCGAATTTCTTACTGAAAATTAGCTGCTTTTTCATTTAGTATTCCATTACCTGGCTTTATTCCCTGATTTTTTTTTTTGTGAAATTTCATTTTTGAAAGATACTTGTATTCTTTCTAATTGCTAAATCCAGGGGTCTTTCTTATTTTTCAGTCTTTTATTTTTTACCCCATCTAGGCTGTATGATCTTGAGAAATTTTTAGTCCTATTATTTCTCAGTTCTTAATGGTTTTTGTGTGTCAAGTAAAACTATGTATATCAACACACTTAGCATCAAGTTAGTAGTTCAGCAAGTGATGGTTGCTCTTGACCTGTCATCTATGAAGCTGTACTGCTTGGCTCTCGAAATATCTAACACAGTTTTGTCTCCCTTCACCCCCTAACCCTTTTCCTAAATATGGACATTCTTTAAGGCTCATTTTTCCATTTAATCTCTGTCTTTTCCCTTAGAAATCTTACCTATTTGCAGCCCTCTTAACTGATAAACGTAGGCTGCCAGCAACAAGATACATACCTGGAGGCTGTGCTATCTAAACTCAGTTATTCCATTTCTCATGCCCTTTAGAAACCTTCACCTCAAATTGAACATGTCTGAAACCAAACCCCTTAGTTTAGTCCCTGTTTCCCACTTGTGGGAATATGAATATTTATTCCAGCTAACCAGGCAAAAAACATTACCATCATCTTTGATTCAACACCTTTTTTTTTTTTTAAGTTCTGTCAATTTTTCCTTTCTATCATGTGCAGGATTTTTTCCTTCATAATTTATCTTCAACATTGATCTTGTGCACATGCCCTCCTAGTTAATTGAGTAATATATGCCCTGATCTGTCAGTCATGGTGACTTAAATTGTGTTTAAGGCTTACTACTTGAAAACATGAAAGCTTATCGATTGCCTCTAACCTAGTCCATACACATGTAAGATTTTTAGTCCGGGTCCAGTTTATCATTCCCATTTTACCCCAACCATTCACCTGGTAGTTTACTCCCTGTTCTTGGAAAATGCCTGTGTTCTTTCAAATTGTCAGTTCAAGGAAGAAGGTAAATACATGTACCCCAAAGCAGTCTCATGTTAGCTGCTCCATAAGTGATTAGTACTGAATCCCCCTGAGACTTTCAAGGAGACTTACAAAATGAACCTCAGAACTGACTTCCCCTTTTGGTCAAAAGTTGCCCTGCAATCTTCATTTCACTCCTCCATACTTCTGGGTAGTGAATGAGCAAGTGCAGGGCTTTCTTTTTGGACCTAATTCCAATTACACCTTACAAGGATCGGATCAAGAGATCTTGAAGTGGTATAAAACCGGTGTCTGTAATCCTGTTGTGGTTAAAAAAAAAAATATATCCAAAAGGTACAGATGAATTCACAGTAAATTGTGTCTTCCTTCTCTTGTATTCTAAGTTGGGGGCAGCAAACTGTAGTTTACCACTAGATTGCCTTTTACTGTTAATTTGATTGGCACAAAGCCATACTTCATTTTAAGTATTGTCTCTCCTCAATCTACAAGTGACTGTCCTCAAGCTACAGCCTCAGAGTTGAGTGGTTATCACAAAGATTTTATTACCCATTAAATTAAATATTGGGCCCTTAAAGAAAAAATGACCCCTGTATTAATCATATTGGCTCCTTCTTTGGAAACACTCACTGTTACTATTTCTTTGAGATTTGGCGGGCATTAAAACAGCTGTGTATATATTTTTATCTACCTGTCTCCCCATCCACCATACACATAAGTACTTTTTTTTCCTTCAACTTAAAATACCTTTGTGATTTTTTTCCTTTTTTAAAGATTTTATTTATTTTTGCGTAGAAGAACTGGGGTACAAGCCAGAGGTACAGGGGGTAAGAGGATTCACCAGTAGGGAGCAGAACAGGCTGAAATACACTGCTGAGGGGAGCAGCATTTCTTAAACAGTGAAGTAATGTGATTAACTGAGTTTTAGGAAGATTAAATTTGTCACGAGGTGGTGTGTTACACAAACTTTCACTGTTTACCAGGCACCATCCTAAGGGGTCATGTATATTAACAGACCTTAAGTTGTAGGCCCTTCATCTTACAGATGAAATTTGACTTATAGGGAAGTAATGTTACTGCCCCCTGTAAAGTAACTGATAATGACCACCTTGGTTATGAACCCAGTAGTCTGATTCCAGAACTCATGTAGTAAACCACTTAATTATGTCACTCTGAAGGTGAGTTAGGAAAAGGTCATCATCCTTGCACATAGCAAGCACTTGAGAATTGGGCAACAAAAGAAAAAAATAACTGACCATTTTCTGAACCTATTGATTCGCATTGTAGTTTTAAACATTTTCTGTCTTCATAATACCTTGATATTTTTGTTTTAAATTGTTATCACCATGGTTGGTGGTAGCTTAACACTAATTTTGAGTCCCTGGGACCAGCTTATAATTTATAACAAAAGTGGTAAGTTGAATTTTCTTGTGTTCTGTATAAACGAAGGTTTTAAGAATGGGTAGTGAGCTCTTATGTGTCTAGATTGTACATATATGTGAGTGAATGAAATGGTGCTTCTCATAGGGTATTGAAAGAGAAAGAAAGATCATTTTTAAAGAAATGCCAGCATAGATGAACTAATATGGTAATGGGGCAAAAGCTAGAATGTCTTAAAAATAGTACATGCTTGATCAAGAACTGGCTTCCAGGGCTGACCTTTGCCTTTAACACTAAGACCAATCATTTTCTAAAATGTTAAATTTCGCCAATGTTTTGCTCGAAGTCTAATTTGAGAAATGCTTAAAAATTTCTGATCTTCACTATGGGACCTGGGAGTCATAGTTTTGTTGTGTGTTAAGAAAGGCACACTAAAAATTTAACATTTTATTCTTATCTCTGACTGGGACCTTTGTAAATAAAAATACTTCTCTTTTACCCTGTCAAATGTTCTTGGGTTTCTTTTTCTTTTTAACTTGGGTTCCTAGATATTCATAGGCTGTACTGTTTAGTTGAAGATAGGCTACTAGGATTGGTAAGACCTCTGGAAATGATTCATCTAAGTCCAGGGTTTCTCAGCCTGGAAACTATTTATATTTGGATTTATAATCTTTGTTATGAGGGTGCTGTGAAATATAATGCTGTCTATAAGCAGCATCTCTTCTCTGGCCTCTACCCACTAGATACCAGTAGCTCCCCTTCAGTTGTGAAAACCAGAAATGGTCCCTGATACTGCAAACAGACCCATTGGAGACAAAATTGCCCTAGTTGAGGGGCACTATAAGTTCATGTCCTGTAAGTGGCTGTTTCCTTCTCTGAAGTGCTGACATGGAGGGGGAGTTTGTCCCCTTAATAGCAGTCCATTTCAGCTTTAGGTGGTTCTCTTGGGTTAGAAATCTTTTCTCTGTGTTAAGGTAAAATGTGCCACCTGCATCTTTTTAGCTCTCCGGCTTGGGACTGCATAGTGTAGGTACACACTTGCAGATATTGGAACATAGGTATCAAATCTTTTCTAGTTCCTACTGTGGTTGTTTTAGAGCCTTGGCAAACTTTTTTTTGTAATGGGCCATATAATAAATATTTTTGGTTTTGCAGGCCACATATTTTGTAGGCTATATAAGGTCTCTATTGCGTAATTTTCCTTTCCTTTTCTCTCCCTCAGTTTATTTTTTGCATGTTTAAATATTTAAATACATTGTTAGCTGGCACAGACTGACTTGGTCTCAGCCATTGCTAGCTAATCCTACTTTTAGATTTTCTTCCATCTGGTGTGATCTTCAGAGGGCAGTCAGTACCTTCTTAAAAAGTAGTGCCTTAGAGCCAGTACCGAACTTTCCGTAAGGGTTGAGCAGCAGAGAATGGTGCATCTGTCACTAACTCTTTAAGTGCTTAAGATGTTTGTCTTTTGGGAGCTTTTGCCACATTTTCAACTTAACTTGGCCTTAGTGCCAACCCAGCATTTGGTTTATCTTTTTTATTAGTCTGCATTACCTACGAGGATATTTTTAATTTTAGAATAGGGTGGTTCATACATCAGACTATACCAGGCCTCATCTTAGCTAGAGCCATCTCTTGCTTTATCCCGTTGAAAATTTTCTGGATCTTACTTTTTCCTCTAAAGCATTAGTGAAATTTCTCTCAGCTTCCTGTTACTTGAATGTTTGATAAACATAACCAGGTGTTCCATCCAAGTTATAAATAAAAATTTGAATGAGACATAGCTAAGAACTAAATTTCAAATCACAGATACTTAGAAAATTAGATAATCTCAATGTGTAAATATAGCTGGTTCTTTTTAAAAGAATTATATTTGGATCTGCATTCTGGCAGCCCATCCATCAGGTTGCTGCCATTACTAATGATTTTCAGAGTGATTTAGACAGTAAGTCAGTCTAATGACCATGACAAAAGAATTCTTACTCACATGCAAAATAAAAGAATTTTGAATACTTTTTTAAAAAGTAGCTGATGTTTATATTTTTTTATTTCAGAAAGGATTTACACCAGTTGCTCCAGTTCATGCCAATAAAGAAGATCCAGCTACACAAACTAATTTGGGCTTTATCCATGCATTTGTCGCTGCCATATCAGTTATCATTGTGTCTGAACTGGGTGATAAGACATTTTTCATAGCCGCCATCATGGCGATGCGCTATAACCGATTGACAGTATTGGCTGGTGCTATGCTGGCCTTGGGCTTGATGACGTGCTTATCCGGTGAGTATGCCTTTTCCCTTGTAATGAGTTTATTGAATTAAGAGAATGGCATTGAGTCATTGAATAATTCAGCTAGTTATATTGGAATTTGGTCCATATTTCAGAACTTAGTAAACAGAAAATGGTTTTAGTATATAAACTTAAAAAAACCATATTGCACTTTAAAAATTTTGTAACTGTCCACAGTCAAGATACGTATTCATTTTTCACTAGCTTTTTATCCTTGCTTTTGCTGTTTTATTTTTTCAGTCCAGATATACTTTTTTATATCTTATACTTTAGAAATATGACCCAGCAACCACAGAAAACACTTATTTTCCGTGTTGAAGGACCTTTGGTAATCAATAACTGAGAAGTTACTTTCAGTTCATTGTGTACCTGTTATATTAAAGTACATTTTCCCTGTTTGTGTTACTATTCCGTAGGGTTCAGTTTTTCGAAGAATTAGACCATGAGAAAGTAAACTTAATACTAAATAATTAGTTATGGCTCACTCTTTGATTTAAAGGACTCCCTGTTTTGGTAGGAATTTGTAACTTTCCCTTTAGAGGCTAATTCTGCTCTATATTAGCCTAATGATAAGTTACTTCACCTCTCAGTTTCCCCATCTTTAAATGAAGATAAGATCTACATAGGGTTGTAGTTTTCTCATGAAATTCAGTTCTAAACGTACAGCAAGTTCTGCTTCAGGCTGCTTAGACCCATGTTCAAGTTTTACGTCTTTTTTATTTTTTTAAAAGATTAATTTATATATGCATACAAGAGCCAGAGGTGGGGGGGGAGGTGTGAGGATTCACCAGAGACAGAGTGGGGAGCAGAACAGGCAGATCTGCTGAAATACACTGCTGAGGGAAGTAGTGGGAGAGACAGAAGAGATCTGCTGCACCATGTGGGTCACCTCCCTGGCCCAGGATGAACTCAGGGTGCAGTGGCTGAGGATAGCTTCATAGTGCTCAGACTTATCCCCTTGCACCACCGGGGGGGGGGCCCAAGTCTTATTAATAAGTATTTCACTGATTAAAATAACTACTTTTCAGTTTTGGAAATTAGTATAAACATTTTTCATGTTTCATAATAAATGTCTAGTATTCTCTTCAAAAGCAAATTTTGGCCATAGGAAATAGGAAAGGAGTGGGAGAGGAGTTGCAAATGGTGAAATCACTTGTCAGGAGTAAGTTTGAATAATATTAGAGGATTTTATTTTAGAAATAAGTAAAATATTACCTTCTAGAATGAGAAAGCTGTAACCATTCCCTCCTTAGACCCTGTCTCCATCAGTTCCCCCCACCTCTTTATGTGTTAAGTTCCTTTTGTTTGGGTAAAAGCTGGATCAGTCTCTATCTAAACCCTCAGCCTGCCTGCTGGTCCTGACTGTCTGCTCTTCTCACCTGTCTCACTCTTCTCAGTATTAGTGGTCTCCAAACCTTTTTTCCTTGTCTACCTCTCAGATCACTTTGATAAGCTATCTAGCCCCTCTCATTGATGTTATTTGAAACTTTTCATTTTAAGTACAATTTGATATTCAGTAAAATTAAACTGCAATTCGTATTCTTTTAAATAGAACCAGGTGAATTTAATTACTACTACAATTTGATACCATACCATCATTGTTTTTTAAAAAATGAATAAACACTTGGAAATGTGCATCCTTTTTTCTCCTTTCATTCTTATTTTCATAAAATTCTAATGATAAGTTTTTGCTTAAAAATGTTGAATGGGGGCCTCCCTGGTAGCACAAGGGGTTAAGATGCAACCTATGAAGCTATCCACAACCACTGCAGCACGAGTTTGATCCACAGGCAGGGAGCTACCCACATGGCGCAGCAGACCACCCCTGACCCACCTGCTGCTCCCCTCAGCAGTGTATTACAATCAGTCTGCCTGTTTTGCTCCCCACTCTGTCTCTGGTGAATCCTTTCACCCCTCCACCCCTACATCTGGCCTGTACCCAGTTCTTGTACACATAAATAAATCTTAAAAAAAATGTTGAATGGACCCACTGCCATTATTTGTAGCAAAAATATGCATATAAATTAAATTTTCTAGTGCTGAAATTTTCCTGTAAGCCTCTAAATTTAACATTTGTATGGATTGAACTATAAGTTATTATTAGTACACAGTTTATCAAATCGAATATACCACAAAATAATTAAATATGCTATGTGAGTGGGGAATGCATCTCTTAGATACATTTAGGTAGAACTGTTCTTTTAAAATTAGTTTATAGGCCCATGAATGATGTTTATTGCTCTAATAAGGCAAGGTTTTGCATCAACTCTGATTTGTTTTTTGAAAAAAATAGATGTTAGGGCTGAGAAATTTTATTCAAATACGTTGAAAGAAATTTTATTATAGACATTTCACTTGATTTATTGAACTCCTGAGTTATATACTAAAAATCACATAGTGGTCTGTCATAAAAAATGATTTTTAGTGATTTACCAACTGACAATAAGTTCTTCTATTGATTCTGTTGCAAGCAAAGAATTGGAAACCATTAAGTATACCAAAAAAAGCTTTTTCTGAAATTTATCAAATGACTTTTTATACATGTTAGTCTTTTACTTAGAAGGTCCTTCTTAAACTGCTTGAGAAAATTAAAATATTGTTGATTTCAGTGTACTTTTGCCAATTAAAGATTTCATTTTAATCCTATCACAGCATATATTTTTGCTGGAATGTTGGGGCTACATATTTAACCCCTTAAGTTTATGGAAAATGGCTACCTTGTTACTAACTGCCATGTGGCTGTCCTAGTAAATCCATAGTAAACTATCTGAGTTGGGTTTTTTTATTTAAGTAAACATAATACATATCCCCATGACAACCATCTATTTTAGAATTCTAATTCTAAAATGGAAGGGTGAGGCAGGGAACCCAGGTCTCTAGGCTTTAGCATTTCTTTCTGATGCTCGTTGCTTTGCTGTAGCAAGACTGTCTTAGGGAAATGCATTATTTTTTAAATGCTGGCTGAGTGAGGCAGAATTCTAAGTGAAATTAATCATTCCCACCATGGCCAAAATACCCAACTTCTGCTACTGTGATCTTATCAGAAACATGAGTTATGACCTGAAACTTCATCTCTGCTTTCAGTATATCACCCCCTCTGTGGAGCCCTAGGGCTTATATTTTCCATGCCGTGGGGAACACTCCGTGGGAGGCCAGGAGAAGGCAACTTGATAATGTGGGCAAAGAGTAGCTATGAAGAGAAGGGATGTAAGAAAGGAGAACCCGCATGACTCAAGCACAAGCTTATTTTCAGGCACATGAGATTTAGGAAAGCACAAATGGAAGTTGAACTTTTGAAAACAGAATCTTTCCCAAGATGTTCGTCCATGCCCCCTTGTAAAGTCCTTGGGTAATCCTGGGGGCATATCATCCTCCCTTGTCGCTTGCTCACCTGCCTCTCTTGCTTGCCTGTTGCACGCAGCTGTCCTGTTTATGTTCTGTCCTGGTGTAGCTGGGGGTTTACCTAGCCTCAGTGCCTTCTGACAACAGGGAGGATAAATCATATCTGAGTTTTATTATTGGTGCTGTTCCCTGTCCTCCCGCTTCACTCCTCACTCACTTGCCTTCTACATCTAACACCATTGTAAAGGCTTCAGTAATCAGCTTTCCCTATTAGAGGGTTCACTTTTCATTTTAATGAGTCCCGCAGAACACATTTGTGGGTATTCCCATCTATTTGCTCTGTTGGGCTCTATGACACCATGTGCTTCTACTTAAATTTCTATCTCTCTAAAAAAAAATTTGGTGCCAAAAATATTGATAATTCTCCTTGACCCACCCCCTTTCCTCCCCTTCCTGCGCCCCCCCCGCCCCCCCGCCAGCACACTAATGTTCTTGTGCTGGGGGCTCTCAGCTTCATGACCTGTAAGTCAGTGATTCCCAAATCTATATCTTCACTCCCAGTATTTTTCTTGATCTTCAATACATTTGTAGCTGCATTGACTTAATGCAAAGCAATTGCTTACAGAGAATAACCTCTCGTTGCCAGAGGAAAAGCACTTCAGTGTCTGAGGAAAGGTTTCCAAAGAAAGAGAAAATAGAAGGACCAGAAGAAAAAGTTATAATACCAAGTAAATTTGCTCTCTATGGAGATGTCAAGACAGAAAAGGTGGGATTGTAAGTGTCAGTAAGTAGTAAAACAGTTGTTTTAGATGATCTGAAAGGAAAAAAAAAATCTAAGTTTAGAAATTTGGAAGTGTTTGCTATATATTTCTTAAAAATTTTTTTAGACTTTAATGGAAAATATTTTAAATTCACAAAGTTGCAAAAATAGGGCCTCCCCTGGTGGCGCAGGCAGTTGAGCACAGCACTGTGAAGCTGTCCGCAGCCTCTGCAGTGCCGGTTTGACCCCGGCCGGCCAGGGAGATACCCACATGGCGCAGCAGACCTCTCTCTCTCGCCCACTGCTCCCCTCAGCAGTGTGTTTCAGTTAGTCTGCCTGTTCTGTTCCCCACTCTGTCTCTGGTGAATCCTCTCACCCTCCCGCACATCTGGCCTGTACCCTGGTTCTTGTATAAATAAAATTAAAAAAAAATTAATTTAAAAAGAAAAAAAAAGTTGCAAAAATAAAGCAGTACAAACAACACCGGTGTACATTTTATCCACATTTCACCTGTTCACATTTTACTTCATTTGCTTTAGCATGTGTAATGTAGCTATATCTGAATAATAATATGCGTGTGTATGTACGCACATAATTTATATCTAGGGATTTAAATATAAATGTGTACATGTAATATATATTTCTGTATACATAGATTGATACTATATCCACCCATTATTTTAGTTTTATCATTTGACCTAGTCATTTTTCTCTCTAGCAGTTTTTCCCCTTCCAGTACAGGAGCTATCTAAGTGTCAGGTATTGCATTTAGTTCTTTTTAGTTTTCTTAATCTGAAATGCTCCCACAGTTTGTTATTTTGTGTTTTATCATACAAACTTTTTTTAAAAGGATACAGACATAAATCATTTTATTGTACTTTGGTTTGTTGCTTTTTGCAAACAAATTAAAGGTTTGTGGGAAGCCTGCATCCTGGAGGTGCTTGCGCCACTTGTCCAACAGCACGTGTTGTTCACTTTGTGTCTCTTGGTCACATTTTGGTAACGCTCCCAATTCTTCCAGCTTATTATTCTCTCTTACCGTGATCTGTGATCCGCGGTCTTTGAGGTTGCTATTATAATTGTTGTGGGGCAATTGTTGTGTCAGGAGACTGAAGTCCTAACCTGCATCTTATGGTTAAACAGGTTGTGAATGCACAGGAAGTTATTGAAGGAAATTAAAAGTGCTAAGATAGTGAACATATCTTTGATAAGAAAGTGAAACAGCCTGAACTGTTATTAAGAGATTTCAACGATCTGGTCAGATGATCAGACTAGCTATAGCATTCCCGATGCCAGACTCTCATCCAGAGCCACGCTCTTACTCTCTTTCCTTTTGTTCAGAAACCAGTGTTTTTTCCCTTTATTCCTTTCCTTCCCCGCCCCTCAGGGGTTTTTGAAAGTTTTACACTTTATATAGCTGTCTGCTATGTAAATGTCCAGTATTTGTTTTTATCCTTCTGACCTGCCTTATTACACAGAGTTTTCTCAGACGCCCTCCATTGTGTTAAAAAATGGCTGCATTTCATCCTTTTTTATGGCCGAGTAGTCCCTCAGAGTGTGGCTGCACCACATCTTGATTCAGTTTTCTGTCAGTGGACATTTAGGCTGCTTCCGTGTCCTGGCTGCTGTAAACAGGGCTGCTGTGGACACTAGAACATACAGGGTTTCGTGCCCATGATTTCATGTTCTTAGATAGATGCCCAAGAGTTGGATTGCAGGTTTGGATGCTATTTCCATTTTCAGATTTTTAAGATAATTCTGTATTGCTTTCCATAATGTTGTACCAGTTGCCGTATAATAGACTCTTTCCTGCATTCTCTTAGTGTTGGAGATGTTTTTAGTATGTGCCAGGCTTTAGATGGTACCTTATGGTATCTTGTGGGGTTTTAACCACCTCTCTCTTCTTAGAAGCAATGGTGAACATTTTTCCATGTCTTTTAGCTTTCTGGATATCCTATTTGGTGCATTTCCTATTGATATTTGCTGTCCATTTTTTAATTGGCTTGTTTTTGTTATTGTTGAATTGTGTGTTTTCTAATGTATCTTGATATTAATAGCCCTTATCAGTCATATTGTGTTGTAAATGTTTTAATAAATGTATAAGGAATTCATTTTCTTTCATAAGATATACTTATTTTTTTTTTTTTTTTTTAAATTTTTTTTTTTTTTTTTAAATTTTCTAGAGGCATGTCTTATTTATTTATTTATTATTTGTTTGTTTGTTTGGTTTATACATGCACTGGGTACAGTCAGAAGCGCGGGAGGGTGAGAGAATTCACCAGAGCCAGAGCGGGGAGCAGAACAGGCAGAAGGACCGAAGTACACTGCTGAGGGGAGCAGCGGGCGGCAGGAGAGGTCTGCGCACCATGTGGGACCCTCCTCCGGTGGCCGGGGAGCAGCCGGGGATCGAACCGGCTGCAGAGGCTGCAGGCAGCTTCGCAACCCAGCGCTCAACCGCTGCGCCACCGGGGAGGCCCAGATATACTTATTTTAAATAATGACAAAGGCACAGAGTTTGAATCATGCTGTATGAGAATCTTACTATGATTCTTCACTCTGGTGGTTTGTAATTCAAAAATTTGTGATTAAGAAATGCCACTTACATGTGAAGGGGCTATGCCCCCCACTGTGCATGTCTGCAGAGGTTCTCTTCAGCGGAATCACTGGTTTCATCATAAGCTATATTGTGTCGTTGATTACTCAGATTTCAATATTGGTGGAAGGAAAAGTATTAAGATTTCCCAAGTTACCTGTTCTGGTTGGTTGTGATGCCTGCTAATTAACCAGATATACTGTTGCATTTTTTTTTTCCAGTTTTGTTTGGTTATGCCACCACAGTCATCCCCAGGGTGTATACATACTATGTCTCAACTGCTTTATTTGCCATTTTTGGCATTAGAATGCTTCGGGAAGGCTTAAAGATGAGTCCAGATGAGGGTCAAGAGGAACTGGAAGAAGTTCAAGCAGAATTAAAGAAAAAAGATGAAGAAGTAAGTTCTGGCACTGTTAACTATCTGGACCAAAAAGGCACTCAATAACCAACACCCAGGGGTCTCACAGTGGCCATCCATGTCTGTGGTGTGCCTCTTCTGCATTTACGTGCTTGCACTGGCTAACGTGACTCTGGGTTAGTGTGAGTGTGGTGCAGAAAGGGCACTGGATTGACCGCTGTAATCAGGTTCCTTAATTTGATAGTAAGCTCCTGAAAAGCAGGAACCATAGTTTATAATTTTACATAATCCTTTCCACACTATCAATAGAATAGCAAGTGAGGAGTAAAACAGTTTGACTTATTTTGTTGGAGAATAACAGAAGCATTGAGAATACAACATCTGCTGCTCTGTGAGACCAGGATCCAAAAGGAACATATTCCATAGAATTTATTTATTTTTTTATTCTATAGAATTTAAACTCTTTTAAAAAGGTATTTTGTACTGTTTTAATTTGCTTCCTGAAATTAATGTTTTTGTTTTAAATTTAGTTTCAACGAACCAAACTCTTAAATGGACCAGGTGATGTCGAGACAGGTACAAGCACAACGATACCTCAGAAAAAGTGGCTGCATTTTATTTCGCCCATCTTTGTTCAAGCTCTGACACTGACATTCTTAGCAGAGTGGGGTGATCGCTCCCAGCTAACTACAATTGTTTTGGCAGCCAGAGAGGTAAGTGAGACTTGAGAGGCTGTGCCTGTATTAACATTAAGCATAACTAATGGTACATTGCTCCAGAGGACACTGGACCCCAAGTCAGAGAGGGCCGAGGAATATGCATATGAAACAGACTATCTGTTTTAGGTCTAATAATCCTGCTGGTCTTTAAAATTGACATAATTTTTATCATCAGATGGTATTCTTGTGTTCAGACTAAATTGCTCTCATTTGACTCACTTTCCCCGGAATTTTGTCAAAATAATGCTATGGCAATTGCCTTGGCTTTCTTTTCTCAGAAATTTCTTTTGTGTACTTGTGGAGAGTATGAACTAGTATATTATTATTGAAGGCCAATTTGGCAATGTATTATCTTAACTCATTTGAAGTGGGTATATTTGGGTTATTTCACTCCTTATGCTAAAGAAATTGAGTGTTTTAAAGGCTACTTATAAAGTAATATTTTGTGGGAAATTAGAAAGAGCCTAACTGTCCTGCAGAAAATTAGTCCAATTATTTATAAATTTCTATGTAGCTCTTGAAGGTGCCAGTCTTCAGTGAAGAAAGACTTAAGGAAATCAGAATGTTTGCAGTGCTTGTCTCTGGGCACTGCTACTACCAGTACATTATTTGGTTCTGGGCAGAACATTTAAATCTTGAATGCTAAATCCTAAAATGATAGACGAGACCTCAGACTGCTTTATTCTAGTCTTTGCTCTGCAGTTAGAGAACCTGAGTCCAGAGAGATGGGGTGACTTTCCCAACGACATAGCTAGTTAGTAAGCTGGGACAGGGATTAAAATTGAGGCTGCCTGCATGCTAGCTTTTTCTTTTTTTAAAAAAAAAAATTTATTTATGAATACAAGAGCTGGGGTACAGGCCAGAGATGTGGTGCGGGGGGTGAGAGGATTCACCAGAGCCAGAGTGGGGAACAGAACAGGCAGATTGAACAAAGTACACTGCTGAGGGGAGCAGCGGGCCAGTCAGGAGAGGTCTGCTGCGCCATGTGGACTGTTCCCTGGCAGGCCAGGGATCCAGGATTGCGTCATAGTGTGGTGCTTAACCCCTTGCACCACCTGGGAGGCCCCATTCTAGCTTTTTCTACTATATCTTGGTCATAGCTGTCAAATGCCACTTATTTAAAAGATACCTATTTTTTTTTTAAATTAATCTCGTATTCTGGGGGGAATAGTAAAGTTTTACCTAAGGTCTCTTATAGTTAACACATGTCAATTACTACATCTATTAAACTATTTTTATCAGATGATTGGGTTAAAATGAGCTTAATTTGAATGTGGTTTTAAGTCCTAGGAAATGTCTACTTAAAAGAACATGTTCCTTATCAGAGTCTCTAGTTTAAATGTGAAACAAGAGTTGAAAGCCAGGACCAGGATAGTTGGGACAGTGTTATTTTATGAGAGGCCTCAAAAATGCTGTGTTTTGAAGAGAAATACACACACACACACTCTCTCTTGGTTTTTCATTCTGTACACACACACACACACACACACACACACACACACACACACACACACACGGTTTTTCATTCTGTTCCCGTGTTTTAAACAAACTTTCTATAAAAAGACAAACTTTCTATAAAAATGTGCCTGTGCCCTATATTTTTTCTTGATTTCTAGCCTTTTTCATTGGCTTTCAGATTGCCAGAACTGGGACTTGAAAGTAAGTGACACACGTTGGCGGAGATAGAGGTTCTGCTGTGCTGCGCTGTCAGGGCAGAATTGTTGCATTTTTCTTAATTCCTTTTCTAAATGGCACAGAATGACTTAAGAGGCTCAAGAGTTGCCTTGGTCCACTGGGTTCTAGCAGCTGGCCAATGTGACTAGGTTTGCATCTCTTCCTGTATAACTATATTTATGCACCACCATGTGTTTCCTCACCTGAAAATGGGGATTTCCTACTTAATGGTTTGTTCTGTGGAGGAAGGTAATGCATGTAGGTCCTTGGTTGTGAGCACCGTGTTATCCTGGGCTATGGAGTGACCCCTCAGGGGAGAAATACGGTGGTCTGTTTTTGTTCCCTTAATCTGCCTCATTTTGTTTGTTTTGTATAAACTATGCAGTAGGCTAGTTTAATCCACTTTAGTCTAAATTTCTGCCTTTAAGTTTCGTGTTTCTACATTGACCTTCACAGAATCCTGGGGTCCTCTGAGATGTTTATGAGCACTAGGCAAGGGAAAAGAAGGGGGGGAGGATCCAGGTCAGTACATTTAGCAGATAATGTGTCCTGCTTTTGGTTTTGAAGATACATCATACCAAGTGACTGCAGCCGCCAGCAGGTCCACTGTGGTCATGTTAGCACCTCCGCCGCCCGGCCCCCTCTTCAGTCTCCTGTGGGCTACTCTTCCTGTCACCACTTTAGCATTTGCTTTCTTCCCTCGTTTTTGTGTTGTCAGTATCCTTGCATGCTCTCCTATAGTTACTGCATTTAATCCCGTAGCTTGTTCATCCTTGAAGTCAGCTGGCTCTTGAGCCTCTTCACTTTTCACTCCTGTCGGCATCCATAAGCCCTTTCTCCCCTGCTTCTCTGATCTTTTACATTACATTGGTATTGCCATAATTTACCCAGGGAACTATAGGTGGGAGACTTGTGTGTCATGGCTGATTTTTTTTTCTTTCATAACACCTTGCACTTATCACTAAGGTATATTAATTATGCGTCCTTAGTTTCCCTGAAATCCATCTGCATTTGTCTGCCTATTTTCTCCCACTGCAATCCAGGTCAGCGTTGTTTCTTAACAGGGCTGTTGCGTTAGCCCCTCGGCCACCTTGCAGTCTTGTCCCCGCCATTTCATTCTCTACTCTGCACTTTTAAAGCGTGAATCTGTTCTGTCACTCCCCAGCTAAAACCAGACCAGAGTGTAGTTTACAGGGTGCCTCATGACAGCCCCGCCACTTCCCTTGCTGCATTCATTGGCTCTCTAGCATTGGCTAAACGACTGCAGTGGTTTTTACTGCTGACCTGTTGTCATCTACTAGTGCGTTCCCTCCCGCAAAACAATGGGAAGTCCTCCTGCTTGTTCTCTAGAGCTGTCTTTTCTGGTCTTTCCAATCTTGAGCACTCCCAGAGGCTCTGGTAACAAGCTTGTACGGAATGAATATTCTTGCTGCTGGGCTAGAGCAGAGGGCACCGTGGAGAATAAGGGGCGGCAGAGTCTTTGAACTTAAGCAGCACAGTCAGACTCTACTGTAAGGCTTGTGTAGCTTCCTCACAGCATCACATACTACGAGGGAAGAGACGTCCAAATTAAGCCTCCTCGGCACTTTTCACATAGGAGCAAAGCATTTCCTGTAAACTAAATTTTGATTTTGCAAATTGCTAAGTTTTTTCTACTTTTAGGTGCACTCATAATTGGTAGTATTCCTTTAAGCGTCTATCCTACTTATCATAAGTTTATTATGCACCTGAATTTTTAGAATAGTTCTATGGGATTTTTTTGTTGTTTTGAACTTAATTTTTAGCACTTAATAGTTAGCTTTCTCAGTGAGCAGTTTCAACCTTGGCTTTAAATTAATATAGTTGTCCTTGTCTCTCCAGGATCCCTATGGTGTAGCTGTGGGCGGAACAGTGGGACACTGCTTGTGCACAGGACTGGCAGTAATTGGAGGAAGAATGATAGCACAAAAAATCTCTGTCAGAACAGGTAAGTTCTTTTATTTTTATAAAGAAAATACCATTTGTTTTAGCTCTTAAAAAATCACTGAGATTTTTGTTTTTTAAAAAGGATTTATTTATGCATACAGGAACTGGGATGTAGGCCAGAGGTGAGGTGAGGGGTGGCGGGGAGGTGATCGTGAGAAGATTCACCAGAGACAGATTAGGGGGCAGAATAGGCAGATCTAGAGAAAGACATTGTTGAGGGGGAGCTGCCGGCAAGATCAGAGAGGTCTGCTGCGTAATGTGGGTTAGCTCCCTAGCTGGGGATCGAACTCAGGTCGTGGCAGTGGGCCCTTATGGTGGCAGAACTGACATATGTAACCCCTAGACCACCAGGGAGGCCCACTGAGATTTTTAAAAGGGAGTTTAAGTTTTTACTCCTGAGGTAGACTGACTTGGTCTGTAATGCTAATCTTGGGTCAACATATTTAAGTTATTAGAATCATCATGTGGAAATGTGAGAAATTTTGGGCCTTATAATGTGTCTTACAAGACTGGGAATCATAGGTGGAAACCATATTTACTCCTTCTGCTGGAAATTTCCCACATAGTTGTTAGGTTGTCCTAAAAATGTAATGAAGGGCCTCCCCAGTGGCGCAGCGGTTGAGCGCTGGGTTGCGAAGCTGCCCGCGGCCTCTGCGGCGCCGGTTCGATCCCCGGCTGCTCCCCAGCCACCGGAGGAGGGTCCCACATGGCGCGCAGACCTCTCCTGCCGCCCGCTGCTCCCCTCAGCAGTGTACTTCGGTCCTTCTGCCTGCTCTGCTCCCTGCTCTGGCTCTGGTGAATTCTCTCACCCTCCTGCGCTTCTGACTGTACCCAGTGCATGTATAAACAAAAACAAAACAAACAAACAAATAAAAATAAAACATGCCTCTATAAAAAAAAAATTAAAAAAAAAAAAATAAAAATGTGATGAAAACAGTTTCTCTGTTGAACATTCTTAAAACTGGGTTTTAAGATGAGTTACAGTTCTATTGTTGCTTGTCAACACTTCCTGAATAGAATTATTATTTTCAAACAATGCTGGAGAACAAACTGCTTCTTACTGTTGATAATCAGGCACGTTAAATGTTCTTTGCTATGGGAATGGGGTTGTGTTTGTTTTTGGGGTTTACTAGGTTGGACGAATACGTATTTTTGTTCCTTCATCATTTTGTACAGTATCAAAATACAGGGATTTTATCTTAACTTTTTTCTCTTCTCTTACAGTGACAATCATAGGAGGCATCATATTTTTGGCGTTTGCATTTTCTGCACTATTCATAAGTCCTGAATCTGGTTTTTAACAAGCTACTTGTTCATTTGTATTTAGTATAAGATAGGTAACTCTATGTACATAGTGTACATTATAACTAAAAGTGATGGAAAAAACTGTATTTTGTAGCATTGATTTGTGAGTTTGACCCATTTAATGAAAGTATTATGTCCTAAAGAAATAATCATTGATTCTATTTGCAACATGGATTTTGAAAAGAAACCTCATGTCTAAGTGTGGATTTCTCTTTTCTCCAGCATAATTATGTTCCTTTTATTGTTTGGGTGTTTTGTTTTTTGGGGTTTTTTTTGGAGGGGGGGAGGGATATGCAGAACCATTGTGCAGTGGGGTCTACCACTCAATTTTCTTCTAGCACTGACCCCTTTGTAAGGAATATAAATTTTCTCTTGGATCAGAGAGGTGTTTAAGCTGTTGACCTTAAGATTTTTTCTTGGGAAGAATGAGTTTCTCTTTTAAAATCTTTCCTTGAGCCAATAAGCAGTAGTTTAAGCAGAAACCTTTTCAAAATTAGCTTATGTTTTAAAAAAGGCAAGAGAGATGTATTACTGTAATAGCAACATGACACAATTGTTTGCCAGGCCCATTTGCTTTTTTTTTTAAATTGGGTCGGAAGCCCAATATAAAAACAGTCAATATTTGACAATGTGGAATTACCAAATTAAAAGGAATACTATGAGTGTATTCATATTTTTTCTATATTGAATAAACAATGTAACATAGATGCAATGTAAATAAAAGTGGTATGACCAGTGCTTGTTTCTCCTTGTGTGTTATCAAAATAGTATTTATATTTATAGATGAGTTTCTAAAGTTGATGTAAGAAACAAGGGCTAAGCATCGTCCAAAAGCACTTAACTCTCACAGTGCTGAGGTTGTAGGTACTAACATAAGGTGTGGAAAAAAGGAAACTCACCCAAGGTTGTGTGGTAGGGCAGAGAGTCAGTCCAGACTGTTTAATTCTAGAGTCCCTAACTGTTGATCTTATAGTAAGGTTTACCTCATTTTATCACAGCAGCTTCAGTAATCATGGTCATTTAAGCATCTATTCTAACTTGACTAACTGTATTCCAGCTAAGCAGCACAACTGCTTTTCCCCAGCCTGACATGTTCTATTCCATATGTAGCCACACTTTAAGAGACTCTTTAAACCCAAAACACAGTTCTCTGCAATAACTGTCACATGTGCTTTGTGTGAAGTATACTAACTAGCACACCTAGAGCAATTCAGGTTTACTCTGAACTACTGAAAGTCTACAATCTATAGTAATTTATTAAAGAGATTATGAAAGAAAGATCTAAAAGTAGGTGTCAGTTAAAAAGTAATAGTAGCTTATATTGATGGAAAAGTTACTTAGGAAACTTTTAAGGAGTTCTTTACCATAAAAACTTACACAATGAACATGAGTTAAGAGAAAGAAATTTCAGGTTAAGTCCTCAGACTACATTTTCTTGGTATTGCCTTGGGCTATGAGCAAGTAAAGAATTACATTTATTTCTTTTCAAGAACAGAAAGGCTCTAGTAAGTTGCTAGAAAGTAGCTGGTACAATCAAAGCCCAAATTAGCAGTGTAGGCAGCCAGCCTACTTCCCGGGACTAGTTTGCCGTGTGGAATAACAGCCTAGCTTTCTGGGGCACCACCATCTTGTAACAGGACTTGGCTACCTTGAGAGAATTTGGAAGCTTGGGAACCAAGCTACAAGGTAAAAATTCCTACTGCAGTTAAGACTCCACTGTTTATAAACAAAAGGAAAATGTCATTGGTGGTGATTTTAAAATATTTAATAGTCCTTTTTTAAATTCCAAAATAATGTGATTCTTACCAGTTATGTGCCACATAAAGCAGGTGTTATTTTTTGAGAAATGCAGGTGATACTGAAAAAAACATAGCACTGAGGTATTTTTATTTTTAAAATTGAGTAAGGAAACAAAGTCTGACTAATTACATTTACAAAAAAACAATGCTACTGCTTGGCTCTTTTACTCTAATTTAAGGTTCTGAATACATTATAAGAGTCTATGGGAAAGAGCATTATAATAGTACATGTAGTTATAAAAAACTATGCACGTCATAACCTGGGAAAGTGATTATACAGCAAGAGGCCTTTGTGGAGGTAGGCTAATAACACATTTTACCTCTTCTCAAATAGTTTTGAAGAAAAACAAGTAGAACCAATTAATAACACCAAATTAAAATGGCAGTATTTAACTGATAACAAAATGATCCACATATTTTATACAATGTTATATTTCCAAACATAGCTCATGAAAATCAGCAGGGAACCTAATATAGCACCGTGGAAACCATTCAGTATCCCTTCATGCTGCTGTGCAATTTAGGATTTGGGGCAAATACCTGGAAAATGTCAGTCTCATTTTTTGTAAATCAATTTGGGTGGATTGCTTTAGGAAAAATAGATGTTACCTCAAGATGGTTAGCCATTCATAGCGCCACCCTTTTGGAAGTAAGAATGATGGGCTATATCTAATTCTTTCTTAAAACCAAGAACCAAGCAGTAAAGACAGCAATGTCAAGAGTAGCACACTAAGAACCACACAGAACATTAGAAAGAATCTGGTGTATGTTTTTACAACTACCAACCAATGTTAACAATTAAAAATTTACAAAGATAGAACATTTTTTTGCACTAACTGGTTTTAATACAGCACTGAATTTAACTCATCTTTGGGCTTCAATCTTTACATAGAGTGAATGTGCAAGTGCCACGCTGAGGCCTTCCCCAACTTAACATCATAGTAAAATAGCTATCAAAGTAATTCCAGAATGACCTAACTGTCAGTCATGGCTGACATATGTATTAAAGAGGATATTTCTTGGCCAATGTTTTTGCTTGATGGTGATTGTCTAGTTACAAAATTCAATCTGAATACAGTTTTTCCTACATTTCAACTCTAGTACTGGTACAGCCATTGCCAGCAGTGAACATGCACCAGTACAAGCCAACTTAAAAACATCATAAAACATTTGAATGTAGTTTTTCAAGTGATAACACAATTTCCTCAGCAATTTAAAACCATACATTTGAAAATGACACCTTCAATTTAACCTCAAAGTTGAACCTTTTTTATATCATCAAATCCAACTTGTGGCTGACATGCTTTCATTGCCATACTTTAAGGAATCTCAGAAGTTAGAGAGTATGCCCGTCCCTGACCTGTTGGACTCAAGAGCCCTCGAGTGAAGAATTACATTTCAATGCATACCAGCAAGAAGTAGCCTCAACTCGAGGCTTCAAAGCTTCAAGCACTGCTTTAATGGACAGTGCTGTGTATAAAGGTTTTGTTTTTAAAGGACCAAGCAACATTACACTATATAAAGACAGCAAACACTTTTGTAGAAGAGTTTGCAGTGTGTAGAGTACATATTTTTTGTCCATCTATATTTAAGGACTTTAAATGACTTTAATATGGACAGGATAGGGACAGCCATTAGAAGATGCTGATCATTTTACTAACATCCCTAAATGGGCAAAATAGAGGCAATGTGTGCCACTGGTCCTGTCATACTGGCCTTTGGCTGTGTTGGGGAAGTGATCATATAAAAAGTGTCCATAAAATAGAAAAGGCAGCAAGTGAAACTAGAAAAAGGTTGGAGCTATATGAAGCAGATTTGAAAGGAGTTATTTTTTTTTTTTCTTACTTGAGAACAGGACGGAAGTGCAGAAGCATCTGGATTTGGGCCCGCCACTCCTGTCCTGAAGTCAGATTTGGATTGCCCAAGAAAAGTGATTGTGAGAACTCTAGAGACTGAACCCCAGATTAGAAGAGCCAGTGCTCTAAGAAAAAAGATCACGAGGCAAAACAAAACAAACCACAAATTAAATACATAACACTGTGAAATCACTCTGATGAGAAAACAACACAGATATTTAAAAAATATAAATAAATACAGTTAGCCATTTTTATTCAAGAAACCCAGAGAACTGCTTTCAAAGCAATTGCTTCTTTAAAACCACTTTCTAAATTCTCCCATAAATACTATTTTGATTGTCACTTAATGCAAGCACCCTCAGTGTTTGCTGGTGGTAGTGATGGAATTTCACTTAATAGTCTCTTCATAAACAATACCCTATTTTACTAAAGAACGTTTCCTTAGGAAAACCCAGGCAGCTTACAAAATACTGTTAAATACTCAACAGAACCTGCAAAATATTTTATTTAAGAAATACAAGGAATGTAGTGTTAAATTATGACATGGGGGGAAATACGCAAAACAGTCACATGGAAAGAAGGTGTTTTAATTTTTAAATATCCACGTTTGTTTAATTTTTTGTGGGCTGTTTTAAATACCCTGAATTAATAACTATACTAACAAAATTCATCCCCGGTGTTTCCACAGGAGACATTAAAATAAGACCAAATTAGACTTTTCCTTTTCTTTAACCAAAGTAGTAGTATTTTTCTCAGTTCTTTTGTGCAAAAACATGACAAGAGCAATTCAAACGGAAATGCTGAAATGACATGCCAACATTTCAGAGCACATTTAAAACACCCAGAATAATTCTTGAAGTTATTGTATTCTAAAATATTACTATCAGTCACTTTTAGGTTAGTTCTATACATCTATTCACACCGATGCAATTTTCCTAGACCTCTGAAGATAAACAGGCTCATTGGTCTCTTTTGGTGTCCACACAATAGGCAAGATAGGTTTACAATAGTGTCTAAATGGAACTAGGCATCTATAATAATCTTTTGACTCCACCACATTCAAAACAAAAGTCAAAGTACATTTGGCTACCTTGAAATCACTCCCATAAACCTACTGGTTCACTGGATCTAAACATTTCTCAGAAATGTGTCATTTTAAAATTTCACCTAAGTGATGATTTGGGGATCCTTTAGAAATAGTAATGCCTAAGATAATAAACGTTATCAAAATGAATAATTGCAATAAAGTGCTTGTTAACATTTCAAAATGATGCTTTAGACTGTGGTATGTTGTTTTAAAGTGTGTGCTATTCCTGCATAAAGGATCCCCAGGCATGAGAGTCGATCTTCTCACCTGTCTCAAAAAGCAGCAGCACTATCTTTTGGTAGGCTGACAATAGGCACATTACCCATGCGGATGAGGCTATACTAGTGCTATGGCAAAAGGGGGAGTAAATTAGAAAAATGGGAGGCATGTGGAGGGTTCCTACTATGTTCATAGTTATATACAAATATATTAAATATGCTATAAAAATAGTCAACTCTTTTCCTTTGCAATTACTTCAGACGCTCCTTTTAGAAGAAAGGTCACCAAACCCAAACAAACTGAAAGGCTCTCTTCTCTCTAATCCCTATTCAGATGGCAAGTGCCTTTGTGCTGTTTCTTTTCCACAATTTAAAAATTTCAATCAGTTTACTGCTGGTCAGACTCATTCAGCAACAGTAATATCCAGTGTTCCTACCTTCCAACATTGACTCCTGAGGGACTAAGAACAGGGTCACAGATATTGGAAAGGTTATACAGACTTGAACAAGTTATACATAAGTGTTCATCAGCAAACTGTCAATCACCAAAAAAAAGTAGAAATGAGCAATACTAGAGTAAAATGCTACTTGTATTCTGCTTAAAAGCAAAACATTGACCTCAATGCAGAAGAAACATTTTAAAACACACTGAGTAATATCAGTGTAAAATAACTTTCACCTACGTAGAGCAGGGCACTAACTAGAGTACTATTTTAAGAGTCCCCTTTCTAAGGCTTCTCGATTAAGGGGTCATCTCCCTTCAACACAAAATGTCCTTTTTATGGAGCTGCACTGCTTCAGTGCCCTTACCTAACTGCAAGCACACCGCTTTAAGGCACTGACCAACTACTACAGCACTTCTGAAGAATCCAAATAACATTTTCACTATCCTGCACTGAGTGTGTTATAACAAACTGCTTAAAGCCACTGGCATCCTTTTATTACTAGTGCATCCCTAAACCACGTTTATATGACAAAATGGAGCACAGGACTCAAATTATCCCCTCAGCCTAGGGCAGAGTTTGGAGACTGAACTGTATTACTGACTTACATCCCCCTGTTCCCCATATTTGCTTGCCGGCCAGTGTTTTCCACTCAAAAAAATGGAGTACTTCTAGTCTAGGTTCTGGTTTGACATCACTCTCAGCAGCAACATTATTATTCCTTGTAATTCTCATCTGCAGTTGTTTAAATAATACTGACACACCCGTGTCACAGCACTCCAAAGCAAGCGATGCAGAACAGCTGACATTTCTCCTTGTCTTCAACAGTTTCTAACCTAAAAGGTGCCAGAAGAATACTTAAGAAAAACTGAATATGACAGTAAAGCAGAGGGAAGATAATGATTTTTTTTTAGTAGTTTAAAGGTGTTCCCATTTGGTATTTTTTTCATGACTTAAAATTTAGAATTGTAATGAACAACTTTGGCTACAGAAAGGAACTAGTTAACTGCTGCATCTTCATTAGAATGCTTAAGTCTCCAATTCTCACAGGCAGGGGCAGCAGGAGGAAAACTAAGAAGTTAGAGGTGGCTGGTGCTTCTTAGCTCTTCCAATATAACACTTCACACTGACAGCACAGGAAAAGCACCTAGCTGCTGTTCCTTTAAATTTAGCAACCAATTCGAAGAGGGGGTGGGGGGATGAAGGATAAAGAACAACAGGAAAGATCAAGCCAAATCTTACCTAATTTTCTTTCTCAAATATTTGTGAGGATGGAAAATGAAGGGACTGGTAGAGAAGAACATGAATAGTCTACAGGTTGACCCTGAGGCTTATGTTGTTTGCTCTTGTTAACCTAAGTACAAGTACTCACGGCTCACTTAAGTATGGTATTTAGAGAATAAACCTTAATATTATGGTTCCTCATATAATTTCGTTAGCTAAATCCTTATCACTAGATATTCCCAGTAAATAAACGAGACACAACTCAGATGTATATGGAATAGCATATGGTTGAGAAAGGCAATTTGAAAGGGGAGAAAATTAATACTCTTGCCATATTCTACATCATGGATTTTTGTCTCTGTGTACATTCAAGTACACACATTCTTGACATTCAAGAGAAAGTCAGAAATCTCTTCTAGATGATCATTTAGCTAGAAAAGAAGCTCATTGATATGTTAATTATTAAGTGGTATCTAGTGACACTTCTTTTGTAGAAGTACCTACCAACTTTCTTTGGTTGTTTCATTTTTCAACATTAATTTTCTAAATTTAAATATGGCTAGGTACAATTTTCTACAGAAAGACAAAGCATATCCTTTAAGGATGATAGCAAAGCTGAGGTCAGAAAAGTCTCAGGATTTTAGGAAAAGACTTAGGATTCCTCTGACTCCTTTATCTAGCAATTTTGTATTAGGTTATTTTCATTGAAACAGAAAACCTTTTCTGTTTAACATCAATTCATTTGATGTTAAATTGTATTATACATTTTCTGTTAAGGTCAATTTTGGTTTCTTACAGCTTGCTGTCCTCCCTTTCTTCAGTAATATTTTTTTTTATATTCTGATATATTCCATTAATTTTCCTTTGCTCTACATTTGTAGATTTATTATTATCATAAAACCTATAAAATTATTTCTTGGGTGTATATGCAATTTCTGTTGGAATTTATTATCTTTAGAATACAATACGGCCAAATGAAATCTTAGTTCATGTTTAGAAAGCATGTGAGTTACAATAGTCTAGTGTAGTGAAGGCAAGCCAGTTCCTGTCCCTTCTTTTTTCCTTGTAGGAATATCAAGATCATATTTAGCAAATATTTACTGTTAATTCTTAAAAGACTATTTAGTTTTAACAAAGGAAGATGCTGACTCAGGAAAACAACTTTGCAATCACATTAATGACTGATAATGGTATGATGTCATCTTTTATTTCTAACATTGTAACCTCCAGTCCCAGAGACAAAGTAGTCTTCACAGAACTTAGGAGAGTAATAATGGCACCAACACCCACATGCTGTTAAACATGTACTAAGGTTTCAAAACTGCTACTGAAACCAGACAATGAGTTCAAGATGGTGAGTTATCACCTGAATCAAAATCAAGGCACTATGGGTTTTTTGTCCCCTCAAATAACCCTGAATTATTTGACTAAAAGAAGCTTTGAAATTGTGAAGGATAATAAAAAGATTCCAACAAATCTTAAAAGTTAAAATTCCCACCAGTGAGAATGTTAAAAAGTGCCAAAATGTTTTGTGTGCAAATTTTACCGCTATAACTGAAACATTCTTGAAATTACTTTCAGACTTGTTGAAAACTGTTTACGCAACTATTTCCAACTATGAACTATATCAAAATGGATCAAAACTCCCAACCATCTAAAAAAAGCAGTGCAAATCCTATTTTCAAACGTAACTGAAAAATAATGAAATGAGGGATATTTCTGAGTAACTTGAAAATCCTGTTGTTTCAATAATTTAACCTGAAAAAAAAAAAAAAATCCATTCCCAGCAGCACATCATACCTCACTGAACAAACTGTGACATCACAGCCAAAGTATGAACAAAAAGACTTGTGCCCTGGAAAAGTAAATAGAATACTATATGTTGTAAACAAAAGGAAAAACAGAGGATATATTTGTTTGTACATAGTGTCAGAATCTAAGGAAATGTACTCATACCTATGAGGAGATTATGCTTTCATGCAGCATACAAAATGTTTTGCTTTCCTCACCTTTTATCCAGACACATACATAGTATTTTTACAGCATCTACACATAGAGAATTTGAACCTACACAACATTCTGAAACTACTATTCCATCATTATCTGAAAACGGACAGGGGCAGGGGCAGGGGACCTACTGAGTCTACTGGACTGTCTTCATGGCATCATTGTAAGCAAACCCTGACATGGCAGTGGCGTATCCTCTGTAACACTTGAAAACAGGCACAGAACCACTAAAAGTCACTAACATTGTTAGCGCCTCTCTGATTAACTGGAGGTCATGTTACATAGCTGAGCTTAACATTTGGCAATATACTCTTTTTTCCATCAAAAGAAAATATCTGGGCAAGTAAAACACTGTCAGAATTGGCTACCGCCCTATGATCATCTGCTGGCTGGTATTCAATGTACATCTACAGCACTAGGCAGTATTTTTCCTGCTAACGGATTCCAGGAAAAAGTACACTCAATACTGCATCTCATGAAACTGCTGGGACTTTAACTTCTATCCTCAGATCAGCTGAGCAACTTTTTATGGACCAACCCCTTCCTCCCTTGAGGTCGGAGAGGTGGCACATGTGCTACTGTGGTTGAACCTTGGAAGGGTCGGTCAAACTGTCAGTCCTGTGTCGATTCAGCTGCTGCTGCTGCTGCTGAGACTGGTGTTGCTGGTGATGAGATTGAGGGAAAGTGCTCTGTTGTAGTGGAAATGCAGCAGAGAGGATAAGCTGTGTTGAAGGATTCCCGTGGAGCAACCTAGAAGTCTAAAAAACAAATGAATCATGCAAATGGACTATAGAATGGATTACTGCTTTCCTACCTTTCTACAGTCTACATTTGATGTTACTCAAGTTTTCCACTCTCCACAGGGACAAGATCCTTACGTTTCATATAACTTACATAATTTTTACTTTCTCATATAAAAATACTTTGAAAATTGTCTCTCAAAAGGAGACAACCTCTTTTGGAAAGTATGACAATTTAATTTTTTAAGGCACCTGAGCTACAGATTTTTTTAGTTTAGTTTTTTTTTTTTTTTTAATTTTTGTATAGAAGAACTGGTGTATAGGCCAGAGGTGTGTGTGTTTGGCGGGGGTGGGGGGAAGGATTCACTAGAGACAGAGTGGGGAGGAGAACAGGAGGACTGACTGAAATACACTGCTGAGGGGAGCAGTGGGAGAGACAGGAGAGGTCTGCTGTGCCTTGTGTGAGTTAGCTCCCTGGCCAGGAATCAAACTCAGGAGGTAGTGGTAAGACTTAGCCCTAGGCCACCAGGGTCACCCTGAGCCACAGATTTTAAAGTACAAAAAGCAATCCAGGGCCTCCCGGGTGGCACAGCAGTTGAGCGCTGGGTTGCGAAGCTGCCCGCAGCCTCTGCAGCGCCGGTTCTATCCCAGGCCACAGGTGAGGGTCCCACATGGCGTGCAGACCTCTCCTGATGCGCCCGCTGCTTCCCTCAGCAGTGTACTTCGGTTCTTCTGCCTGTTCTGCTCCCTACTCTGGCTCTGGTGAATTCTCTCACCCTCCTGCTCTTCTGACTGTACCCAGTGCTTCTATAAATAAATATATCTTTGGGGGGGGGGGGAAGCAATCCATGTTTTGAGACAAACCACACATATTCCTTCACTTTATATGTCCTAAAGACCATACTATTGAAACAGATAATAAAATTTCAGCATAGCTGAGAATGTATGATATAGGCTACTCTGAGGTCAAATAGCAATGTCCTCTACATTTGGTTGGTTACAGTAGCAATTCAGTAGCTGGAGCTTGGGCCCTGTGGTACATGGTCTGATTTCAAACTCTATCTCATACTATCTCATTTACTAGATGGATGATTTGCTCAAGTTTATTGCCTCTGTGGACATCAGTTTGTTCATTTACAAAACAGTGCAATCACATTGCCTGCTATATTGGACTTTAATGAAGATTAAATATTAACATTATTGTCTTAAAATACTATAAAAATGAGGGCAAAGTTGGAGATTTACAAGCCATATGTAACAGTGTGATGTAACAAAATGCCAAACCAAAACAAAAAGTTAGAAGCCCAGATTTGGAGTTGTTCTCTGCTCTTTATTAGTTGTGTGTGTGTGTTTTTTAATGAAGACAGTATTTATGCACATAAATATTAACATTATTATTTTAAAATATCATAAAGTAAAGGCAAAATTAGAGACTTAAATCCTATATGCAGCAGAGTGATGTAACAAAAAACTCAAAACAAAAAAAGGTACAAGATCTGAAGTCAGACACCCAGGATTTGAGTTGGGCTCTGTAATTTATTAGCTGTGAGACCTTGGCCAAGTTTCAACTTTATGAGCTTTGGTTTCTTTCACCTAATTTTTACTACAAAAGAAAATGAATTTAAAAACATAGCCTTTACTACTGCAAATTAATGCAGGGCTCCTAATTTTAAAGCGGTCTTGTAATGGGAGAGTTTTTCAGAATATATATAAAGGACACATGCACACATACTCACAAAGGACCATTAAGCCTTACCAAGACACCTAAGAGTTTTCTTTCTCTCTTGACTATTAGGAAAAATTTTGTAATAAAGAATTCAGGATGTTTACGAGTCTTACAGGGTTACATTAGTGGTACATTTTGGAACTAGGTGTTATAAAACAGAAAAGCCAAATTGTGTATTTACTGTCTACACGCAAGTGCATTTCTGAAGGGCATTGTCTATGGTATTTCTTTAGGGGTCTCATGTCTTAAAATATGTTTTTGTGGTAATCAAGGTAACACCAATGATTGTGTATATGACTTAGAGGCAAAGATTCACACCCCTGAAGTGCCTGCCCTCACACCATACCCCCACCAAGGCTCCCACAGTCCACCACAGCCTACTGGGACCCTCCATATTTTGCTCTCCATCTTCTCCCTCCACATCCCCCTTTGGTTACCTTAATTCTACAGATTTTGATGATTTGCTTTATTTGTTTCATTTTAACTGACCCTTTGTTTTATTTCTTCATATTCCACAAACAACATTTGTCTTTCTCCTTTTTTTTTTTAAGATTTATTTATTTATTTTAAAGATTTATTTTATTTATTTATACAAGCACTGGGTACAGTAAGAAGTGCAGGAGGGCGAGAGAATTCACCAGAGCCAGAGCGCGCCATGTGGGACCCTCCTCCGGTGGCCGGGGAGCAGCCGGGGATCGAACCGGCGCTGCAGAGGCTGCGGGCAGCTTCGCAACCCAGCGCTCAACTGCTGCGCCACCAGGGAGGCCCTGTCTTTCTCCTTTTGACTTAAGCTTAGCATTATCCCCTTCAGTCCATCACTGACACAAATGGCAAGCGTCTTTTTTTTTTTTTTTTTTTTAAATCACTGAGTAGTATCCATGTATATACCACATCTTCTTAATCCACTCATCTGTCCTTGGGCATTTAGGTTGTTTACATAACTTGGCTATTGTAAATAATGCTACATTCTTCAAAAAGATACCTAGGAGTGGAGCTGTTAGATAGTAGATCTATTTTTAATATTTTGAGAAACCTCTATATTTTCCATAAGGACTTTACTAGTCTACAACCCTACCAACAATTTAAGAGGGTTCCTTTATCTCCACATCCTTACTAACACCTGTTCCTGGTTTTTTTCATATGGGCCATTTTCACAGGTAGGAGGTGGTATCTCATTGTGGCTCTGATTTGTATTTCCCTGATGATAAGTGAAGATGAGCATTTTTTCATGTGCCTGTTGGCTATCTGAATGTTTTCTTTGGATAAGTGTCTATTTAGCTCTTCTGCCCATTTTTGAATTGGGTGGTTTTATTTTTTTGGGTTGTATGAGTTCTTTATAGATCTTGACTATAAGTCCTTTGTCAGATGTATGACGGGCAAATATTTTCCTCTATGGCTTGCTTTTTTTTTTTAAAAGTGGGAGAATGAAATGTTCATACTTTTAAAGGCCCTTGTTCTGTGATAGACTAGAAGACTGAGATCTTAAGGCAAGTTTTTTGCTTTTTAAGTTTTTGCTTGATTCTCCTTGAATATATTCTCCTAGAAAATAGTTCATAACTTGCTATAACTTCTCATTATTAATTCATTTATAACACAGCTAACCCAATCATTAGTGGCTGCAATAAAGGCTTAAGGCTTTAGTGAACTGAGTTTAACTGAGAGATATTTAGTTTTAGTATTTCACATCACCAAGTAGAGAATTTTGTTTGCAGAGGACACCAAGGATAATATAATTAACACTGGAGTATGCCTAAATATACAGTATGTTTTGAATCTTCTAATCATACTGTATAGATGTTGTATAATTCTAAAACTGGTAACATGTCCCTGGTTTATAGTATCTAACACAAAACTAGGCTACCCTACATTCAAAATTGCTCCAATGAGGCCAGAGGGGAAAAAGCTTCCTTTCCAGATGTCATTATCTGCTACAGTGCATCCCAGTGGGTAATAAGGTTCAGAAATTTGTCTTAATTTGACAACCTAGGTGACTTTCTGCTATATGTAGCTTTCAGATAAGCAGTCCTGCTACACCCACATATTTGTGACTGCATTTTGGTTAATCTGAATATCTTACATTTATTGAAATTAGTGCTCATAAATGACAGCTAGTTATATATGCCTTCTAGCATGTGCAGTGATTTACAAGCTATTAGCACCTCTATAATATACATGAGGAAACTCAAGTTTAGTCATCTGCCACAAGTCACAAAGTACTTTGTGCCCAGGTTCTTAACTACAACATATGCTTCATAGTGTTTCCCTCTGATATTAATTTATTTCTGAAAAATTTGCAACATTTAATCTGACAAAATAACTTAATGTCTATACTAATTTTTAGGAAACCCCTTTGATAGTTCTGCCTTGTAGAGAGAAGAGAAGGGGGGAAAAGGTGCCTTTTCTTGAATTCCAGAAATTGGTCAGAGAGAGAAACTGAGCTCCACATAGTAAAGTTCAAGCATCTTGATGTGAACAGGATGTGACACTTATTCTACAGAGCCGTTATTAATTTGTCCATGGCAGGGTTAAAAGTCTTCCAATGATTGTATAAGAGAAGAAAAAATAGCTAATACAGACAAGTTTTCTCTTTGTTGAAATTTAACTTGTAAAATAAGCTTTTAAGATTTTTCAGACCACTTACAAACTGTCCATTTATTGCAAATTTCATTTTATATATGTTCATAAACAAGTCTGGAGTAACTTCCCCATGGGGTGGATTACCTGTAAAAATTGCTGCTGTGGTGTTTGGGTCAGCTGAGCCTGAGATGGTTGCTGAACTGAAGTAAGCTGCTGTTCCTGGGAATTCTGCTGCTGCTGTTGCTGCTGCTGTGGTGATGTAACTGGCAATGTCTGTGACTGCTGCTGTTGTGTAGCAAAAGTAGGGTAGGCAGTCACCACCTGACCCATCAGCATAGTGCTAGGTACCATGACTGCCCCACAGGCTACAGGAGCAGTTACTAATTTGGTCACAAGTTGCTGACCTTGAGAAAATCTGTAAAGGAAAGAGAAAGAGTCAGAAGTATAATACTTTATAAAAGGCAGTGAGTGGGTTGAAAATAAATACTACACTAAGATAACACCCAGAGATATTGCCCATTTAGTTTTTAGAAAGCTGTATGTTCCAATTTTGTTTCATGTTTTTAAAGAGCTCCTCTGGGGTCCTACTAAAACAGAAATGTATACAGCAAAATGAAATGATCACAACAAAAATATAAACTTTTGTATATCCATATGCAAACAAAGTTGAACCCTTGCAAGAAAGAACTCAAAATGAATTAAAGATTTAAATAGAAGAGCTAAAACTACAAAACTCTTAGAGTAAAACACAGAGGGTAAGTACCATGACACTAGATTGAGCAATGATTTTTTTAGATATGAACTAAAAGCATGGGCAACAAAAGAAAAAATAAACTGGAATTCATAAAAAAAAAAAAAAGTGCATCAAAGGACAATATCGATAGAGTGAAGGGGCAACCCACTGAATGAGAGAAAATACTTGCAAGTCAGGTATCTGATAAGGAGTTAATAACCATAATATATAAATCAATCCTAAATTCAACAACAGACAATCAACTAAAAAATGGGCAAGGGTCTTGAATAGACATTTCTCCAAAGAAGACATACAAATGGGCAGTAGGCACATAAGATGATGATCAATATCACTAAGCATTAGCAACTGTGAATCAATACTATGCACCACTTCAGATCTATTAGGATGGTTATCATTTAAAAAAAAAAAAACAACACAGTATTAATGAATATATGTAGAAAGTGGAACCCTTGTCTACTACTGGTGTGGTCAGAAAATAGGCAGATACTAAGGAAAACAGTATTATGGTTCCTCAAAAAGTTAATATAGAATTAACATTTGATCCAGCAATTGCATTTCTGGATATATCAAAAGAACTGAAAGCAGCTATCAGATACTTGAACACCCATATTCAGAGCAGCATTACTCATGATAGCCAAAAGATGAACAGAAATGACGTGTCTGGATGAACAAACAAAAAATGTGGTGTTATCAACACAATGGAATAGTATTCAGCCTTTAAAAAAGGAAATGTTGACACTTCTTACAACCTTGAGGACATTATGTCACATAAAATGAGGTAGTCACAGGCCTCCCCAGGTGGCTCAGCGGTTGAGCACTGGGCTGCGAAGCTGCCCGCAGCCTCTGCAATCCCCGGCCACTGGCGAGGGTCCCACAGGGCGCGACAGACCTTTCCTGCCACTCCCACTGCTCCCCTCAGCAGTGTATTTCGTCAGCCAACCTGTTCTGGTCCCCACTCTGGCTCTGGTGAATTCTCTCACCCTCCCGTGCTTCTGACCGTACCCAGTGCTTGCATAAATAAATAAATAAATCTTAAAAAAAAAAAAAAGAGGTAGTCACAAGCAACATACTGTATATTCTACTTTTATGATGTATATGAGTAGTCAAACTCAGAGAATTATATGCTTAGAAAGCAGAATGGTGGTTTTAGAGAGTTAGAGGTAAGAGGAATGAGGAACTATTGCTCAATGGGAAGAGGTTCAGTTTGGGAAGATAAAAAAAGTACTGGAGATTGATTGGCAGTGATTGCTATGATGGTGTGATGGTACTCAGTGCCAATGAAGTTTACATTTAAAAATGCTTAATGGTTAATCTTTTTCTTACCACAATAAAAAATTTTAAACCTGTTAAAAAATATCAACTTTTTCTTTAAAAATTACTAGGTACTTGGGAGTCAGATGTAAGTGGCATTGTTAATCATGAATTAACTTAAAGCTATTACAAGGGAATTTTTTAGAACTAGTTTATAGAAGAGATGTACACTGAAAGTTATAAATATAATTGAAACAAAATGACATTCCAAAAATGAATAAAAATACCTTCAATTTATAAATTTATTACTACAGTATAGTACCCACTGTGTTAGAATTCACTAACATTCCCTCGCTACACCTCCTACTATTTTCCTTAATAAAAGAACAACAGAGGGGCCTCCCTGGTGGCGCAAAGGGTTAAGATGAAACCTATGAAGCTGTCCACAGCCACTGCAGCACGAGTTCGATCCCCAGTCAGGGAGGAACCCACATGGTGCAGCAGACCTCTCCTGTCTTGCCCGCTGCTCCCCTCAGCAGTGTATTTGAGTTGATCTGCCTGTTTCGTTCCCACTCTGTCTCTGGTGAATCCTCTCACCCCCAACACATCTGGCCTGTACCCCAATTCTTGTATGCATAAATTAAAAAAACTTAAAAAAAATAAAAGAGCCTGCCTTGTGGCACAAGGGATTAAGCACTACACTGTGAAGCAATCCGCAGCCTCTGCAGCACAAGTTCGATCCCCAGGCGGCGAGGGAGAAACCCACAAGGCGAGGCAGACCTCTCCTGTCTCTCCTGCTGCTCCCCTCAGCAGCATATTTCAGTCAGTCTGCCTGCCTGTTCTGTTCCCCACTCTGTCTCTGGTGGATCCTCTCACCCCCTGCATTTCTGGCCTGTAGCCCAGCTCTTATATGCATAAATAAATACATCTTAAAATAAAAAACAAAAGAACAACAGAAATGATGCCTCTTCAGGGAACAATATTATTCCTATTTGTCTTTTCTGTGAGATAAAGTTAGTTTCTAGCAATGACCATTATAGTGAAAAAATCAAGACATACTCTACTATATGACAAAACTGCAAATAAAACTGTTAAAAGTACCTAACAATAGTAAACTTATACACATACCTTATTATATTATTTTCCACAAGACAAGTTTATCTTTAATCCATGCCACTCTTGAAAATAAAGGACTATTTTTTATATATTTTAAGACCAAATGCATTATTTAATGGAAAAATACGTACATAAAAGGATAAAAAATTTACAGTGCTAAAAAAAAAAAAAAATTTACAGTGCTGAGTGCTAATTTCTCTATAATCTTTCAAAGTTACACCTGAATTCTCCAACTGCTTACTGGTAAAATATGGTGATAATACTTCATTTGCTCTGGTCCCAAGGCACATTCACAATCTATTTCCATTTAACTCTCACTTCTGTGGTTTTCTATCTACTGTCCCCTCTGCAAAGTCTAGAATACCCTTTTCCACAAGCACACCCAAAGTCAAGCCCTTTAAGACTCAGTTGCAGTACCCCTCTCTTCTGTGAAGCTCTCCACTGACAAAGTTCTCCCTTCATTTACTTGCTTCAACACATATAATGCTCTCTTCCTGCTTTCTAGAGATCTAGTAAGCATTTATCACACCAAATAATACTGATTTGCATTCTATGGCTTTTACTGGTGATATTTTTTTCTTGGGGCAAATATGTAGTATTCATCTAACTAGGCTCTCAAATGTTTGCTGAAAAATGTGTTTTCCTCCTCAAAAAACATGCTTACAGACAGCTACTAAACTGCATCATCCAAAATGCTCATCAGTATCACAAAAGTTTCCCTCAGGCTTTGAAACTAGTTCTCTGCATTTCTATAGAGCACATTCTTGATACTTCCTTTCAAAATGTTAGAGCTAAAAGCTGGACTTCATAACTTGAAGGAATTATTCCCAAGAGAAGCAATGAGCTTTCCCTGCCATCCTTGTCTCTGTAATCCTGCAGCTTCTTTACTATCTGGAAAACAGGAATTTAATAAAATCTATTACACCATCTAATACAAAAGCAAAATTCTATTACAAAATAGCAACTTTTGTAAAAATATAAATTGTATTTAGGAAAGATTTTAAGACTATAAAGATCCTACTTGTTGTAAACAACTGACAGTTTCAGCTTAAAAACTGACAGTTGTAAAAAAAAGATAGCTTCCTAATTAAGGGGAAAAGGTATTTCTTCAGAAACTTTGTTTCTAGGCTCCTATTGGGACATCCCATTAAAATAAGTCATGCAAGGCTGTTTTTCTAGAGTGGTCCACAAAAGTTCAGAATAGCATATGTTTAAGCTGTTGAGCTCTGAATCACATATTGAGGCTTAAATTCAGAATTCTCATCATCCCCTGAACTAGCTATTGGTCGTTGGCCAAACTACTAAAAGCTCACTTTTCTCATAGCTGGGAGATAAAGAGACTGTAACACATATTAAAAACAAAACAAACTAATAAAAACAACCCCTAAATGAGACATAAATTTTGAACATTTAGTATGGTACTTAAACTCAAGAAAGGAAATCTACTTTTATTCCGTAACACGTAGACTATGGCAGTATACACCCTAACCACTGCCTATATAAAACTCACCAGCATTTATATTCAAAAGATTTCAGTGACGTTTGTCATAAATCCTGTTTAACAGTGTGTGCTACAGTAGATTCTACAATGTTGGTAGCACATTTTTGGACAGGAAACAAAATTTGTTGCTACTCATTTTTATATAAAATCCTTAATAGGTAAATTCTGAATTTTAATCCCAAATTCAAGAATGCTGGCTGCAGTGAGCAACAAACTAAAATCATATTTTTAAAGACTAAATGGTGGTTTTTCAGTTTACCAATTTACAACTCTGGAATGATTAAGGAATATGAAAACTACCTTATCTGTCTGTCCTGAGTGAATGTAGTTACGGCAGCACTCGGGGTGCTGTTTTGTGGCACACTAGATGGAATCTGGACCATGCTTCCGGCTGCTGGCTGCGAAATCACCATTGTGTTATACAGTGGGGCTGCAAGAGTACTCTGTGTCTGACTGGGAAGAGATGTTTGTTGACTGTGCCCACTCAGTACATTCTGTTGACTCTGCTGGAAAAAGAGAAGATTTAATACATAAACTGAAAAAATTGATTCAGAAAGTATGACAGAGAAATAAGTAGCAGGACACATCCCCCTGGGAAAAATCTAACCACAAAGGAATGACCTGTAGGAACTGAGAATAACTGGTCTTCAACCTCTTGTTGGAAGATAAGCTATGATTTTAGAAGAACATCATAACAAGGATGATATAAAACAGCTGAAAAATCCTGCTGCCCAAAGTGAGTGACCAACGCTAGACATTTTTACATATTTCACTGAAGCCTTGGGAATTACAGTCATAGATCATATACCAATTACCAAGTTTTTCTGTAATACTGATTAATCCATCATTGCCCCAACAATCTAATCTTCACATGTGCTAAACTGTTTTGTTTTACAGCCTCTTTTACAAGTCAGCCTCTTTTACAAGTCAAACCTTCTTAACATACAGAAGTAGTGTGTATTCTCATTTTAAGCAAATGACAAAATTTTGTGTCAAAATAGTTAAAACATTTAACATTCAAGAATTTAGCAATTAATAATTTTGCAGAAAACATTTTCATTATCACTCTCAATTCTGTACTAACTAGTAATGTTAATTTTTTAAATATGATATTGTTCGAGAGAGAACTCCATTTCAATCATTCATTACCTGACTTGATGTACTTTGTAAAGTCTGCTGTTGAATCATATGCTGAGTTGCACCAATGTGTCCAGTATTCATTCCACTTTGAATTTGGTTAGTTTGAACAACCTGACCTTGCATATTTATAGGTGTGAGTTGCTGGATGCTAGATGAATTTCCAGAAGAAAGTTGAACAGAACCAAAATTCAATCCAGAGGCTGATTGCTGTAAAAACATCTTTAAAAATAAAGATTACATTATAGTGATCTTTCTAGGTTAAAAACAAAGAATGAAAGCAAAAACAAGCTACAAATTAAATTTTAAGAGTAACAGAACAACTAAATTATTTTGAATGAACAATTAACAAGAAATGACTCCTAAATAAAACATGATCCTTACTATTTGTTCTCCAGTCATTCTAATGTTAGAAAAAATGCTATAAAATTCAAAATCTCTACTTGGCTGAGCATTTCACATTTGGGGGACTGTTTGTTATATCAGCTAATTCAGTGCTACTCAATGTCCTTTGGTATGGCAGCTCTGCATCTCATCATTTATAATTTATAGCATTAGAAAGCAGTTCTCACATCCCCTTTGTTGAAGTTTCCCTTAACAAAGTCCTAGTCTCCTATGATAAACATAACTTTAGGGTGGCCTTATGATGGATTAAGTAAGACTAAGTCAAATTATACCTACTAGAATATTTTATTAAGACAAAATGATTGATTTATAAGTGCTATGCCTACATGTAACTAAAAATCAATGTAAAATATAATTTTTATAACATGGATTTAAGCTTACTAAAAATCAGACTACTGAGAAATGACTCTAATATTGAGAAACAAGGATGCTGACAGAACTACTCTTAGAAATTAATTTCTTTAAAGATTATTAATGCAAAAATACTGAGTAGACAATGAGTATTGCACTAAATTGGAAAGATATATCTCAAGTCACTTTTAATTAAAAAGGTAAAATTTTCTAAAAAACCAAAATGTGAGTGGTATGCTTTGTTTATATTCAACTATGTAATTTACCTGGAGCCCTTGACCATGAACCATTTGAAGCTGTTCTTGAATTTTTCTTAGTTCTTCTTGTTGTCGATGAATATTTGCCTCTATCATCCGTGTCCGTTGTTCCAACTGGTCTTTAAGATGCTGCATGGCTCCTAATTGAGCTGAAAACTGAAACTGAAGTACCATGTATGGAAAAAGTATAACATATTTTAGAATTACTTATTCCTCATAATTGTGTAATGTGAAAAGTAAGCAGTGTCTCACGAGCTAAGAATGTTATGCCAGTTATCAATATATTGCCTCTCAGCATCTAATTCACCCATCTTTTGCTTGGCTTTGTGATACTGGAGCTGGATCCGATATATTCTTTGCCAGCAGGCACAAATTTAGTCATGTCAGTAGGTGGTGCTCAAGGAGTGCTGCAAAAGAAGATGCTTATCTTTCTAATTCTGGTGCTTTTCCTTCTTGCTAGTCATCACTAGCAACCACAGTAGGTGGCTTTCTAGAAAGTCTCACATCCATCCTAGTGAGCATCTCCCCAACCCAACAAGTCTTACTGATACCTCAACAGGTAGCTTCTTGTTTGGCAGCCCTGGCCTGTAGAACCTTAGTGAAATTCTCTATCATCCAGTGGCTATAGTTAAGCCTGCCCCATGGGGGTGAGGGGTCAACTTGTTCTTTCTGGAGTACTTTATCTCTGATTTAGGATTGGCTAGTGGCTGATCTCTACATCTGTTATTCCTGTATTGTTTTAGAATTTCTCAACTACTTGCAGTAGTAAATCCCTTTACGACTTCTGAATGGATCTTAACTGATTATAAGTACAAACTGGTATTAGAAGACCTGAGCTTATACTGTGGTTCTAACACTTGCTATAACAAGAAACTTGACTTCATTTCTACCCTTAAACAGAGGAAAAAGTAGCCTACAGCAAGTTATTCACATCAAATTCTGTCATCTTGAGCACATCATTAGAAACTTAGAAAATCTGAGAGATAACAGAATATCTTTTTAACTCATATTGTCAACTAAACTGCTTCTTAGACAAGTACGAAACATAGACTTTTAAGACCAGACAATCATGAGTGAATGAAAGCATATGTGAATGAACAGTTATTTTATTCTTGGGGTTTTCAATCTTATGTGTTTTGCTTGAGTCAAAAGCAGTTTCTATTTCTTACTCCTTGAAATTCAGCCAAATTTGATGGCTCACCACTTAAATATATATAGGCTCATTGTATTCATGAATGTTCAGCACAAGATACAGCATGAGAATAGAAAATTTCATTTTATTGGAAATCTGCCTTAATCTGAGTGAGAAATATGCCCCCCGCCAAGGTTTTTTAATTCTATTTTCAAAAGTATATACTGAGGAAACAATGAATATTACTTGTCAAAGTATAAAACACTTCCTTCTAAAGCTGACAATTACCAGATTACAAATTTATATCTCAACTCCCTCATGCCTTTATTTTTTTTTTTTGTATCATTCAAAATATTTGGCAAGCAAAAGCATATTATCCCAACTAAAGTTATTTATACTTTAGGGTAAATATAACATTGTAATTTAAAGGATTTCCATCAGGTACAAATAAGAAAACAGATATAAACACAGGCAAAATAAAAAATACATGAGAAGAAAAAGGCAAAAAGATTGACTATCACTGAAAAGAAATATGTTTGAATACTGATTATCATTTTAGCAGAACATCTATTACTTATTCCATGAAACTATCCCTTTAAAATGTTAAGCAATGCCTATTCTGTATCTTGAGATTAGTAAGCTAATAATATTGAGTGACTGTCTATATATGCACACTCTAATTCTGTTAACCTACAGATAAAAAGGATTTGAGGACTCAATGCTGATAAAAAATGTTGCAACTATTATATTTAATAATATAGTGCTGTTATAAACACTATATGACCACATGTTGCTAGAAATCAGGGTGACATTTAATTTTTAGCATCATCAATATATTTATACAAGTATCATTGTATGATAATTACAAATATATGTAAAATTTAAACAATAATCATATAAAGTAAAGTTATCTTTATAAAGATATTTTTACCTAGTGGTTAACTTATCATTATTTGATATTAAGATACTGATATATTTGATACAAAGAAAACAGAAAATTTTGGATTATTTTTACAACTACTCAGTAGTATTTTTAATGTGTTTGAATCACTGAAGGGGTACACAGTCATAAATTACAAGTTGGGAAGCTATAATCAAAAGTAACTTAGTCACTTCTGTAATGTCGCTCCTTGTCTTGTTAATTTCTATATTTAGGCCTGCTTCAGGACTTCATTCTTTTAGAAAACTTTTCTTCGCTTCCTTAGGCTGCGTTAAGCGTCCATCTAATGTGCTCACATATGAACTTGGGTACCTTGAGTGCAGAATACACAATATTATACTGTACTTATATCATTACGTCTTAACTATATAATAAAGTCTTTTAGCATAGATATCCTTGTATACCCAACAGCTGCAATACAAGGATTGCAGATGATATACAAGGAACTCAATAGACATCCTTATACGTCATGAGTAGTTATATAAATTAAAAATTATTCAATTCCTCCAATATCCATAGAACAACAAAATGAACAGCTGTATTTCATCTTTAGTATCCTTCTTCTATATGGGGGTGGTGTTAGAGCATATTAAGCAGGATAATTCTTTGTTGTGTAAGACTGTCAGGCATCCTGAAAGACACTGAATATCCCTGATCCTAACCTATTAGGAGCCAGTGGTAACCGAACACTGACAACCAAAAATATACCTGGATGTTCTAACTGCCTACAGTTGAGATTCACTGCATCTATAAGTACATGTATGTTTTAAAAATCTGTATTATCTTCAGTACAATTTATCAACTGAAACAACAAACAAAAATACCTGGGACATGCCTTGTGGAATTGGTAAATTTGCAGCTTGAGACATCACTGGCTGAGTTAACGATTGACCAACAGACTGGGAATTTATGGACTAGAGTAAAATAAAAAACAAAACAAAACACTGAAGTGATAATTGTTCCCATACATGAGTGCTTCAACCAGAAATATAACATATCTTTATTACTGAATCACTATTTGACTCATTCTTTTTTTAGCTGAATACAGGCAAGGCTTCCCCTCTCCACTGGAAATAACTGCTCCCTATTTATATCTTCCAAGTGACCCACCACATTATGTTGTATGGACTCCCAATAAAGATGACTGAACATTCCCACATAAAACTTGAGCTGGAAAAGACAAATCTGTCCCTAAAGGAGAAAAACTGCCACCCAGTTATCCCTAGCCCCAGGACTACCAGGGAAAGGACAACCATAATCTAAAGGAACCAGAAGAATTGAGAAAACTGTTCATTGGTGGTCTGAGTTTTGAGACTATAAATGATTGTTCTAAAGAACATTTTGAGAACCAGGGGACACTTACAGATTATGTGGTAATGGAGATCCCCAAACAAAACATCCCAGGGGCTTTAGTTTTGTGGCTTATTCTTGTGTTGAAGAAGTGGAGGACACAGCAAGTGTGCTCAACCACACAAGGTTGGTGTGTGTGTAGAGGAACCAAAGAAAGCTATTTCTAGAGAGGATCCTGTAAAGCCTGATGCCCATTTAACAGTGAAGAAAATTTTTGTTGGTGGTGCTGAAGAAGATACAGAAGAATATAATTTGAGAGACTACTTTGACAAGTATGGCAAGACTGAAACCATAGACAGGTAGGGTGGGATAAAAAGAGGATTTGCTTTTGTAACTTTAGGTGATAGAGTGACAAAATTGTTCAGAAATAGCACACTATTAGTGGGCATAATTGTGATGTCAAAAAGGTCCTATCTAAGCAAGAAATGCAGTCTTCTCAATCACAAAGGGTCAGAGAGGTGGATCTGACAACTTTTGGATCATGGAGGAAATTTTGGAGGTGGTGGAAGTAACTTTGGCCATGGTAGAAACTTTGGTGAAAGAGGAGGATATGGTGGTTGAGGTGGTGGCAGTGGAGGTAGTTATAGAAGATGGATATAGTAGATTTGAAGGTGATGGTGGCAATTTTGATAGTGGTCCTGGTTAAAGTATTAGAAGAAACTATGGTAGTGGTGGACCAGGATATGGAAACTAAGGTTACAGACATGGTGGCAGTGGTGGAGTACATAATGGTTAACCACAGAGGAAATGTTGGCAGCAGTAACTATGAAGGTGGTGGGAACTACAATGATTTTGGAAATTATATGGACAATAGCAATCAAATTATGAACCCACAAAGAGGGACAAGTGAAAGAAGCTCAGGTATTTCCCGTGCTGGTGGTTATGGATCTGCTGATAGATGTGGTGACTGTGGTAGCAGAAGGTTCTAAAACTTCAGCAGAAAAGGGTGACAGTTCTTAGTGGTAGAGCAATGAGGAGTTGTCAGGAAAGCTGCATGTTACTTTGAGACAGCTGCCCCAAATCCATTAGAGGAATTGTAAAATACTGCCACAAGTGGTATGCTGATCCACAGCCAGAAAGTTGCAGTAGCTTAAATAGGAAAACTTTCTTATTTAGGACTGTCATAGCTACAGTTTGCAAAAAAGTGAAGCTATTGATTAATGAAATATAGAGTCATGTATATCCCTGAAGTCTTTCATCTGTTGTAGCTTTATCTTTTCCTTTTCATTATATGGGGTACATTGCCCTGTAAATTGTGGTAATGGTACCAGAAATAAAAATTCAAGGAATTTTCAATTAAAAAAAGATGATTGGATTTAACTGCAACGTTGACATTTAAACTTTGTTATAAAATAGCTCTCGATTATCAGTTATTCATTGTATATCTAACATTTTACCTGAGGAAATCATTAAAGTGATAATGAATTTTTAAAGATTTAAATTTTTTTTTCTTTTAATAAATCGTTATTAAAAAAAAAAACAAAAACAAAGAAAAAGTCTTTATTCAGAAGAATATTAACCAAAAAGCTTACCTGACTACTAAATGATGACCTCCTTTGTGCCATCTTTTCATGAGTTGGTAAATGTTGTCTGGGAGGAGTGCTATTATCTGTTGGGATCTTTGTTGGTGTTGCTGAGGTTAGTCAACAAAAACAATGGCATAAGCACTTTTTAAAAAACTGTTCTCAAAGATTAAACTCAAAAGACACTTAGAAATAAAAACTGTCTTATAACCTAATAGTATAAATAAAGGTAATAACTCAATTAAAAGTTGGTCATAGTGGTGCCATTCAGTGGGAACGGGAAGGGAGAAGGATCAAAGTAGGGCACGGAAGAGTACAAGAGACTATGGTGATGGTTCATGGTGTCTTGGTGGTAGGAATTTTATAGGGATTACACCTGAGAGGAGAATGAACGATGTAAAAAAATGTATAAAGTAAAAATTAAAAACTTTTTAAAAAGGGGGGGAAAAAGTTGGTCATAGGACTTGAATAAGACATTTCTCCAAAAAAGACGAAGTAGAAAATTTCTGAAATTGTCCATATGAAAAATTACTCAACATCACGACCATCAGGGAAATGCCTATCAAAACCACAATGTGGTATCACCTCACACCTATCAGGATGGCTATTATCCAAAAGACAACAAGTGTGGGCAAGAATGTGGAGAAACTGGTGTGCAATACTGGTGAGGATGCTAATAGTGTGGCCACTGTGGAAAACAGCATAGAGGTTTTTCAAAAAATTAAAAGTAGAGTTACTGTACATGACCTAGCTTCTAGATACATATATCCACTTCTAGATTGAAGTGAAAAGAATTGAAATTGGGATCTTGAAGAGATATTTGCTCTCCATATTCACGACAGCTTTATTTACAATCATCAAACAGATTGACCGGTGTATGAATTAACAAAACTTGGTATATACAAACCATGGAATACTATTCAACCCTAAAAAAAGAAATCTTGCCATATGTGACAACACAGATGAACCTTGAGGACAACATGTGAAGAGAAATAAGTCAATGACAGAAAGACAGAAGCATAGTGCATGACTCCATTTACACGAACATATCTAAGGCAGTTAAATTCACTGAATCAAAGAATAGGATGGTAAATACAAGGGGTGGGGCAGAAAATGAGTAGCCAGCGAAGTTTCAACTAAGCACAGTATCATGCTCTAGAGATCTGCAATACAACATTGTATCCAATCAACAATAACATATTGTACAGTTAAAGATTTAAGAGGGTAGATCTCATTTTAAGTATTCTTACCACAATGAAATAAAATTTCAAAAGGAAATACTTATGAGGGGGAAATCTTTTCCTAAGAAAAAGAATCTTCCTGATGTTCTACCCAAGATATTGAATAGATCACCATAACCCATTTTTTTCTTTATTACAGTTTTAAAATCCTCAGAAATAAGGGTGCTAAAGTTTTTAAAAAATTACAAATGATAATTATATAAGTCTTCATAAAGACACACAAAAAAACCTTCAAAAAGCAAATTTAAAGAACAATTATTAGCTTTACCAATAAAAAAAGAATAGTTTTGTTTTCTTTTTGAGGGATTAAAAACAACTTAAACAATAACAACATAATTACCTACATATTTTACAGGCTATTTCATAAACTTAATAAGCTTAGCCTAGCTAAGTGCAAACAATGTGCCTTTTACTGGGAAAGTTAATTATTTCAGAAATGTAAAAATTTATGCTAAGTAGCATTTCATGAAAAAAGCTGAAACAGTAGCACAAACCATTTTAGAAGCAGTCTCTTAAAGGAAGTCTGATAAGTCTGATTTCAAACTAGGATACTCACAGGAAGGGTCTGAGACTGCTGTGTGAGATGATTTTCTTGAACTCCGGGAAGAAGCAGAAGGTGTTGGGCTGTGATCAAACCTTTCCAGTGCTTCCTTGAGACTCACTGTATTTATTCTATTATCAGACCCAGAATCTTGGCTCTATGGAAGACAGAGTAAAATAAAAATTTTCTTGTGGATTAGAGATTCCATTCAGCATACTACAGGCTAGCTGCCTCCCCCACCAATCTTTACTCATAACAAGGCAAAAGTACCTGTGTATATATTAGTAAAGAAGTACAAGTTTAATTTATGGCCACAAAGTTTTGGTTTCATTCTTGAATAAAGAAGCAACAGATGCAAAAGAATGAAGTTAGAATCTTACCTTACAGCATATACAAAAAGTAAACGGACCAAAGACCTAAATATAAGTGTTAAAAATAAAAACTCTAGAAGAAAAGGGGGGAAAGCTCTTTGTTGGCAATGACTTTGTTGGGCAATGATTTCTTGGATATGTGAAAAGTAAAAGATAAGGCAACAAAAGGAAAACAGATAAATCAAAGTGAAGTTAATAAAAATTAAAAACTTTGATGCATCAAAGGACACTATAAACAGTGGGAAAGCAACCCATGGAATGGGAGAAAACATGTGCAAATCGTATGTATGGTACAGAATTAATACCTAGAGCACATAAAGAATTCCTACAACTCAGCAGCAAAAATAACTCAATTAAAAAATGGTCTAAAATCTTGCATAAGCATTTCTCCAAAGATACAGAAATGGTCAATACATACACGAAAAGATGTTCAGTATCATTAGGAAAATGTAAATCAAAACTAAAATGTGATACTACTACTTCACACCCATCAGGATGTGTTGGCAAGAATATGGAGAAACTGGCAACTTCGGCACCTGAGAAATTGGCACCTGCTGGTGGGAATATGAAATACTACATGTAAAAAAAAAAAATGAAACATAGAATTGCTATGATACAACTATTCCATGCTTGGGTATATACTCAAAGGAATTGAAAGCAAGGATTCAAAGAGAATATTCATGTTTATAGCTGTACTATTCATAGCAGCTAAAAGGTAAATGTAATCAAGTGTCCTTCAACAGATGAATGGATAAACAAAATGTATATATACACAATGGAGTGTTATATTCAACCTCAGAAAGGAAGGAAATTCTATTACATGATACAACATGATGAATCTTTAGGACAATAATGTCAGGTGAAATATGCCAGTCACAATAGGACACATAATGCATAATTCCATTTATATTTGGTACCTATAGAGTCAAAGTCACAAAGACAGAACAACAGAGTGACAGCTGCCCGTGGCTAGAGAGGGGAGGAATCAGGAGATACAGTTTAATGGGCACAAAATTTCAGTTTGGGAAAATGGAAGTCTTCATGATGGATGTTAGTGATGGTTACATGACAGTCTGAATGTACTTAATGCCCTGGATGCTTAAAATTGGCTAAAATGTTAACTTTCTTATTATGTATATATTACATTTTAAAAAGGTATAAAAAGCAAAAGAAACAAAGATGACACTTTGGTTTAAAGACAAGATCCTATAAGCATCTTTGGAATTCAGCATTGAACTGCTCAAAATCATTCTCTTCACTCAAACTGCCCTTTTTCCTACTCTTTGATTACCATCTCCCATATTTTCTTTTCATTCTCTTTAGATTCCCAACTCTAATAATCCTTTCATGGAAGCTAAAATATATGTATCTACTATATTTTCACAATTACTCTCTCATTTCATAGCTTTTCTTAACTAGTTGACATTCATGACTATTTATCACAATCACACCCCTGTGTATATCATCAACTCCCTTATCTCTTTCATCATACTTCCTTGGAAAAATTCCAAATGCTAGTTAAATCCAAATTTTGTATTTTACATCTATTCCTACACAGCTGAACATGACTTTAGAAACACAATATTCTGACTTTACATGAATGACTAAAAATGGACTCTTAATCCTGCCAGCCAAACACACAAAAATTCCCTCCTCCATTCACTTTCCAACTCTCCTAGGCCAATACTGAACACTTTTTCCATCTTTTCATTCCTCCAACTGCTCCTCTTCTAATTTCATTCTTAGGTGGTAGCTATGCTTCCTTTTTGAGTGAGGAGATTGCTACAGGCCCCCACTGTTATAATTCAACCTACCTATCAGCACTTGTACTCACATAGTCTACCTCTCTTCATGTTACTATAGATCAGGGATCCAAAATCTTTCTATAGAAGTCAGGAAGTCAGTATTTTATGCTTTGAGAGACATATAGGCTCTGTTTATAATGATTCCACCTACTATTGTAGCACAAAAGCAGCCAAAGGAAATTTATAAATAGTTCAGTATAGATATGGCATTTGGTAATATTTTCATGTATCACAAACCACTACTTTGATTTTTTTCAATCAATTAAGACTTGTATAATACACCCTGAATAGTTGTTCTGACAGATTTCATTTACAGGTCACAGTCTGCCAATCCCTTCTATAGTTGAAAAAAATCTGTCCTTCTCAGGGAGTCCTTCCACTATTGTCTCTTGGTCTCCTCTGTGATTGGTTCTTCCTTATCTCCCTCATCTCTTAATGTTGGGTGTCCCGATTCTTAGTCATTTTCTCTTGTCTACATCTTTGCCCTTGGTGGTTCCAGCTTCTCAAAAATACTTTGCAAATGGATCTCTTCCTTATGCTCCTGGTGGATCATCATGGTAGTGGTAAACTTGGTGAGAAAGTAGACCTATTAGAGCATATTTTGAAAGCAGGGTTGGATACTGGTGTGAGGAAAAAAGAAGAACTAAGGAGGAACAAGCTCTACGTTACTTCAGTTTCTATAATGGTTCTCCTTTCAAGGAGCCCTAGATTTCAAACACTTATTTTTAGAAATCTTCTTTAAAAAACATATTGGATTTACCTCCTCTAAGCACACAAAGATACTGGAAAAGTTCTTTCATATAGGAACCAAGAAAGCAGAGAACTTGTCTGTGTCGGTCAATGCTGTATTCTCAGTGCTAAGGGCTATCTCAAATACTGGCACATGGATAGTCCTTAATAAGGTTTGTTGAATTGACAGAATGATATCCTCCATATTGTCCCCGGGTATGCCGCCATATGTAATTCACTTTTTGTGTGAATTACAGAGAATGAATTACAGAGACTTGAGTCTCTTTATTTAACTTATTTTCTACAATTCAAAAATGCCCATGTTGGGCAAACTTCTAATGGTATTTGTACCCTTATATAATCCCTCTCCTTGAGTTTAGGCTGGACCTAGTGATTTGTTTCTAATGAACAGAACAGACAAAAGTGATGGGATATCACTTTTGTGATTGAGTTACAAAAGACTCTGACTTTCACCTTGCTGGTTTTTTCTTTCCCTGGAGGTTCTTACATAGTTGTTCTGAAGGAAAGGACCAACTGGAAAGAGGCTGTGGTCTCTGGTCATCACCCAGCAAGGAACCAAGGATCTTAGTTCAAATGCCCACAAGGAACATAATCCTTCCAACAACCAGAATGAGCTTGGAAATAGACTGTCCCAACAGAACCTTGAGATGACTGACCCCATCAACACCTTGATGACAGCTTTGTGAGAACCCTGGGATGGCACCCTGAATGCAGTGTCATGGCCAGTTTTGAGCAGAGCCTGAATCTAAAGTCTAACTAATCTGTGCCAAGATTCTGATTGTTTTATACCTTAAGTTTAGGAGTAATTTGTTGCATAGCAATAAGTAACTAGCACACTGCACTTTTACTTTAAGGAGAAACCAGACTTCAAATTCTGACTATAACTTCCCAGCTATGTGTCTTCAGGGGAAGTTTTTGTCTCCCCTCCCCCTAAGTCTTAGTTTCAGTATTTTCTAAGTGGGCATATTACCTACCAGATAAAGATGTATGAGGAATAAATGACATTTTGTAACTCATACAAAGAACTTAGCCAGAGCTTAGCACAACATAGGCAATAATTAAGTGGCAGGTTAGCTGAGATCCTCTATGTTTCCTATCCAATTATCACTAAACAGCAGGCCCTTTGACTCCTTTTTAAAAGCAGGTAGTTTTAAAATCTTTAATTTAAAATGAAAATAAATAGTATAATTATAACCCTGTCACAAGTGAGGAAATGAAATATTTGAAAAATAATTTTTCTATAAATTACTGTGTTTTCTTGATCATTGGGGAAAAAATGAAAAACTGTAGGATATATACTTTGTCAGCAGCTGTCTCAGGAAGAGACTCTTCAATGCCAAGTTCTCGTCGTCTTTCAGCACGAACTTCTGCATAACTATGATTGGAAAAAAACAGAATTTAGTGTTTGATTGTTCATTTAAAATATTGCATAAGTGCAACCACTAAGTTTCTGTTACGTGTTTTACTTGTTCATCACTAATACCAGACTATTTTCTATGTTCTCATCTTAACTATATAGTGTGTTCTGCCTTAACTAGGTTGCATTTTTCTATATCTGAAAGTTTTTTTTAAAGATTTATTTTTATTTATTTATGCAGACAAGAACTGGGATATAGGCCAGAGGTGCAGGGTGTGAGAGGATTTACCAGAAACAGAGTGGGGAGCAGAGCGGGCGGAGCTACTGAATATCCTGCTGAAGGGAGCAGTGGGCGAGACAGGAGAGGTCTGCTGCGCCATGTGGGTTAGCTCTCACCTGGCTGGGGATCAAAATCATGCTGCAGTGGCTGGCGATCGCTTGATAGCACTGAGACTTTAACCCCTGTACCACCAGGGAGGCCCTATATCTAAAGTTTTAATGTAAGTTAAAAGGCAATTCAATTAAGGAAGAATATGTTTATCTATTCTGGTACATAAATGAGTTATTAAAATGAAATTTATGTCAAGAATTATGTTTACTTAGTACCTATATATTTCTATATGATGCCTGCAAATAAAATTTAATGTATTAAAATAGAGGAAAATCGGTTTGTAATTCATTAACAAGTCACACATAAAAATTACATTGGCAAATTATAGATGATTCTGTAATTCAGAACTTCTATAAAAGAATTATTACCTTACTACAGTGTGAGTACAAACAATAAACTCTGGTCTTGAATTCCACTGATGATAAGTAATATAATAATGAGTTTGAAGCCAAATCCACTGTTGTCCTTTGGTCAGGAACCTATAGTAACATGATTTGCCTTTCCCATATTGCATTACTAAGAAGAAAAGAGAAAAATATTCTTTGATTCATATTGTTAGTTATGAATCATATTTTAGCCGAAGCTACTTATATTTAAATCTATATATACAATTCTCCTGGATTTTCAAGTAACATTAACAATTATATATCAATTATATATAATTGACATATACATATAATTATGCATAAAATTATATGTATATCAATTTTAAGAAAATGCTACTCTGTAGAGACTGCTTAAGATCCCAAGCAATTAACAGCTCTTCCACAGTACCTAACTTATAGTGCAACTTTACATGCTTTTCATACATAATAAATTGGTAAATACTCACAAATAAATGACTCAAATTATTACCAAAATATACTGAGTGTAACAGCAATTAGTAATAACACCTGTGTTTTCCCCACAGGAATCCTGGGCAGGTGCAGCTTCTTTGGCGCTCTTAATTCTAAATCATAACTAACCAAAATCAGACTAACTTAATTGTTTGAGGTAACTGATATATGCAGTGTTTCCCAAAACATTCCCTGTTGATTTTAAGTTTTGAAGTCTTTTAATAGAAATGAAGCAAAAAGTGGGTTATGAGATTAAAGTTGGAAGACTTTGCTAAATAGGTTTTAAGCAGTCTTCCCAAAATCTTGAGTATTCCAATATATGTCAAGATTCTTGAGGGATTCGGGGTGTTTGACTATGGAGTATTTCCCAGTCTTCCTTGACCACAAAATCTTTTTTTAAATGGACTGCTATTCAGTGAAAACAAACCTTAGGAAATGCTGGTTAGGTCTCGGTCTTTCTGTCTCTCTCTCTCTCTCTCTTTCTCTCTCTCTCTCTCATGCTTTTAATGAGGAAGTCAAGATGTACAAACTTGAAATTGCTTGTCCAAAATTACCTAGCCAGTTAATAAAAGTATCAGATCTTTTCAATATATAATGGAGCTTAATGTCCATATCACTAATAATGTTTTCTTTTGTAATGAAATGACTTTACTCTGAAAAATTTCCTTATAGTTGATGCTATTACACAACACAATTGATTTTCATATAAAGAGAATGACAGACCAGTCTAAGACATGAAAGTATCTTAAAGATCTAATTAAGCTTTAGAGAAAGCCCAAGAGGGTAGGATTTTGGGAGAAGGATCAGAGTAGTAAATAAAACGTGTTATTAAAACAAATCCCTGCAACAAAGAATGAATAGTATGTCTATAAGGGTAAGAATAGACTAATCCTTTCTCTGCCACCAATAAATTATGGGATTAAAAGTATATTACTTAGCCTCACTGTGAAGATTAATAATATAGATACTATATGTAAATTGTTTAGAATAGTGCCTGGCACAATGATATGAGAAAGCTTCTGTCATGATACCAATAAAGGTAAGTAACATTATTAAGCACTCACTATGAGCTTTCTAAGAGAGTCTTTAAATGTGCATCTAGGCGGATTTACATGCCTGGAAATCAAAAGTTATGAAGAAGTATTCTAATAGTTTGATATATTATAATTTTCAAAGGACTCTACCTTATTCCAGATGCAGAACTTACACAATTCAGAGCAAGATTTATTAGATGCCAGATTATAAAACTGTTATTTACTACTAAAGACTAAAATTTGTAAAGTAGGGATAAGTGTAATTTAAATTTATCTATGATTCCCACTGGATTGTTTTTATACATAAAGTAAAATCTTCCAGTATATCTAAAAACATAAAAATGGTTATAAATCTGTATTTTACCACCTTCTACTAATACAATTGTGTTTATATGATTAAAAAACAGTTCCCACTGGAAATATTAAAATCTACTTACAGTGCTCATGACATTTTGCCAAATTTTCTAGGTCATCCACATGATAGTAATCATAGCCTGATGTTCCCAGAACTTCAAATGGCAAATATCCTATTATGGGAGGTGCCCTAAATTACATATAAGACAATCAATATTATAATGTTTTCCATAATAAGAAATACTGCAACTAGAAATCAGTTTTGGGGGAACCTTCTTTTTTTTAATGACTATATAATGGACTTGAATATCCTGATTTTTAACATTTGCCCTTGAAATCCATCTAGTTTCAAGATTTGTATAATGTATAAAATTTACACAAATTTATAATTTATATAACATTAACTTTTACGAATTTAATAGTTGAGTTACCTGTGATCTAGAAATAAGAACTTCCATTCTAAACTATGTCTAGATGTAAACTCTTCATTAGGTTCTTCAACAGTGCACATTTCCTATAAATAAACAAGTTAGTAATAATTAAAATTTGGAAACACTCTTCTGTGTCCTTAGAGAATCCTAAATACTGTTAGCCACAATGTCATTGAACAATTTTCACATTTTAGTTTTCTAGTACTAGAGAATGTAAAAACAAATAACCTTTACATGCAAACTTTAGGGAGAATACTTCTTACTTGACACATTTCTCCATTCACTCACATATCTACAAACTCTGAGTTCAAATCACTCTCCTGAATTACAATTGTATTTCTAACTGGATGTTTCCAAACTCAGTGTCATAAAAATGAACTAACTGCCTTATTTCCCATGCCCAGTTATAAAATTTTCTATCTCAATAATGGAGGGATGCCTATGTTGTACCATTAGTCTAAAAATCTGATAGTCACAGCACATTCTTATATTTTCACCTTTCAGCTTACATGTAAAAGGTTACTACTGAATCCTTTCAATTCTACCTTCTGTTTTTTAAAAACTTATTTGATCCCCTTCATCTTCAGTGTTTTAGATTCCAGACCCATGCCAACAACATATCACATTATTAACAAAGTATCTCCCAAACAAATTTCCTTGTCTTTCAACTCATCATCTATTCTGGGGCCACAATTAATTTCTAATACTCGAGTATTATTACATAACTTTCCTATTTAAGAACTTTAACTAAATAGCTGTGGAAAAAGATGAAAATAGTGGCTTTGGGTCAAAATGAATGGACCTCAAGGTGAAATAAGTGAAAGAAGTCAGAATGTGACAGATTATCTGATGGCTTTACTCATTGCAGACTATAAATAACAAAAAAAAAAAAACAGATCAAAATACAGTAGTAATAAATCTTGAGTTCAGTGAAAGAATTTAATGATTACCAGAGGGACAGGAAGGACTCAGGAGGGATGAAAGAGGAATACGGAGCGGGTATTGGCACAGGTGGTTTGGTAGAGGGTAAGTGGAACATGTGTTCATATGGAAAAGGAAAAATCTAACTTAACCCTGAAATCAGAATAAATTTTTTTTTAATTAAAAAAAAAACACCTTAATAGCTCCTCATTACTAGGATAAAGTTCAAACTCTTTAGCATGAAGAAAGAACAACAAAGAAAAACAATTTTCAGTTCTGTGTTCTGCTTACTTTTCTAATCTCATCTCATCTCATATCCCTATCCCCTCCCACTCACAGTGACCCTAGATGCTGGTCATATTCAGTTATGTATTCCAACCTGCCACTGTGTCCTTAAATGACCTTCTGTAGTACAATGTAGTGATTAAAAGCTTGGACTTTGAGAGAAGAATATGTAGAATCAAATCCCAGTTCTATCACTTGATAGCTGAGACTTCGGGCAAGTAACTTTACCTTCTCAAAGCCTCAGTTTCCTTATATATAAAATGGGGATCATTCTAGCCTCTTACAGAGTTGCTATCAGAATTAAGTGAGATCATGCATGTGAAAGCATACAGCATGCAGAAAGTACTCAATAAATGTTAGGTATTATTTCCTAAGATCAAAAGAAGCAGAGCAAGACCTGTTTAATATCCTTGACTGCTAAATTTGAAACTGTGACCTGTACTATGGTGTCTCCATAAAATGAAAATCTTAGTCTAATTTATTTTCAGTTATGTTCTATCAGTTGAATTATTTTACTTTCCACTTTCCTTCTAATCATTTGTTTGAGCTCAGAAAATAATAATATTTATTTAAATTTGAAATTTGAAAAGGTAAATTATGTGCAGTAAAAAGCCACTTGCACACTTCAAAAACTGTCTTAATTACTTATTTTTTGCCCTTTCCCCTTTAATTCAGATTGTGAGCTATAGAAAACAGCATCCTAAAATTATGCACAAAAATGGGAAAATGCTGATTTATAATCAGATCTTATATTTATTATATATAATTTATATACATAAATTGCTGATTTATAATGCAAAGGACATACATTAGAAAATCAGAAAAATAAAATCAGAAACATACCTTGATGAACTGAGGTGTAGCTAATCTAACAGTAGCTACAAAACAAACTCTGTCTTCATAAGAAGGTCTATGTGTGCGTTGTATAGTTCCTTCAAAACCATTGTGTGCTGAACTGGACACTAAAACAACAAGGAAATAAATACTCATATCTGTTCCTCCTGTAAAACCTAGTTTTTATTATGTTTAAACATCTGTGTCTTTCAGAGGTCAAAAAAAATCACATTAAAATATACTGTAATAGAAGTATTTTAACTCACCACTGTTTAATGATTTGAAATTTCCTATAAATTTCACATATTCATAGGTCGATGGATCCTTTGGGTCTATTGTTCCTCGAAGCATATGACAACAGAATTCTAGCTGATTTTTTGCTGAAGGGAAAAAAAAGTTTATGCTATATAACAATGAATGAAACATCTCATGAAATAAATTTGTAAAAGTTGAATAAGTTCACAATCATTACTTTCTCCAACAGAACTTCCTCAGAAACTTTTCTAAGTGCACGAAAATAGAGTACCTTTGGGAGATGATTTTACCTTGTGCTAAATAGAGAAAACAGATATGAGCAACTCCATGTTTCCCTGTTTCTACCTGTCCTTCCTTTTTTTGTTTTTTTGTTTTTTTAAGATTTATTTATTTATAGGAGAACTGGGTACAAGTCAGATGCGCGGGAGGGTGAGAGGATTTACCAGAGACAGAGCGGGGAACAGAGACTGATGAAATACACTGCTGAGGGGAGCAGTGGTTGCGACAGGAGAGGTCTGCCGCGCCATGTGGGACCCTCGCCAGCTGGCTGGGGATCAAACCGGCTATGCAGAAGCTGCGGGACAGCTTCACAATGCAGCACTCAACCACCTGCGCCACCAGAGGAGGCCCTGCCCTTCCTTCTTATTTTCTATTCTCCTTTCAGAGAAAGGTTTGCTTCCCACTCTAAATCCAGTGTTTCTGTCTCTGCCTTGAACAGGCACTCCTATCTTCTCCGGGACCATGGCCAACCACGGCTACATTATCTGTTAGCATCCGCATACTCTTTGGGTCCTTACACTCTACCTTGAAATTTGTTTTTAAGTCTTTCAAATAAGATGGAACAAAGAGTTTTTCACGGAACTCTTCCTATTACCATAAATCACCCTACTTTTCATTACATGCTTTGAATTCAATATATTCATTTCCTCTAACTTCAAGCACTGTAATTTCCACCCTTAAATTTACTGAAATTGTTCTTCTAAAGATTACCAATATTAGTACAGCAGGTCCTTGAATAGGTCCTTTCCTTCAACATTAATTCACATAATACTGACATTAGTTAAAGAACTAGTATACCGCTCTTCACTCATAACAACAATCTCATGATTTTTTGTTATTATTTTTGAAGACAGGTTCAAAATTTAACTGTCTTCTTAAAACCTTAACCACTTGATCACATGTGCCTAACACCAAGTTCTACCAAGTTTATCTGCTCAACACTTACATATGTGCTTTCCTCTCAATCTCCAAAAAAAGTAAGGTATATAGTACGGTGTGGTTTTGATTTGGTTCAGCATATCTAGTCTGTCACAAACTACAAAAGTTAAGGATGATGGTATCAAATATAACATTTAACTTTTTATTTTTAAAATGTACTACTTACATTTTAAATATTCAGGAGTTAATGAATCACTTTCCAGCAGATGAGTAGAGAGTATTTTATAAACTTCTGAATGTTCCCCCTCTGGGATAAAATTAAATATGCTTTGATCCACAAGATCAGACTGAAAAAGACATTAAAACAAACAAATTTTAATGACTTAAAGAGACATTTACTTTAAAAATATATAATGACTTAAACATTAGATGAGCATACCGTTACCAGCTTTTTATTATCTATAAAAACTGACAAATGCAAACTTAACAGAGCACAACTCAAAAAAATGAGAGTGAAAAGAAGATTCACATTATCTCCATGCCTCTGATACTAGTATAATCAGACTCAAGATCTATATGACCTAGAAAATCTGATAAATTACTTGCCAAGCTTGGTGTCACCAAATTTGAACATTTAAAAATATAACAGGATGAAAAAAGTTGATTAAAAAAATCTTTGGCCTCCCTGGTGGCACAGAGGTTAAAGTTCCAGTGCTATCAAGCTATCACCAGTTACTGCAGCATGAATTCTATCCCCGGCCAGGGAGCTATCCCACATGGCAAGGTAGGGCTCTCCTATCTTGCCCACTGCTTCTCTCAGCAGTGTATCTCAGTAGATCCACCTGTTCTGCTCCCCTCTGTTTCTGGTGAATCCTCTCACCCCACCCACCCCACACTTCTTACTTATGCCCCAGTTCTTGTATGCATAAATAAAGTAAAAATAAATAAATAAATGAATGAATGAATAAAAGACAATCAAAGTTAAAAAAAAATCTTGGGCTACAGATGTAGCCTTATCATATATTTAAACCTCTAGTAATCTATGGTGGTGCACAATGTAACAAAGGACCAGCCACGGGCTAAATGAAAAGATTGTCATGTCCACTGTCCTTGGTGTCATGTCCTTTCTTTTATCTTTTCCAGGCATCTATCCTGTACCCCAATGTCAACAAGCCTGGCTTTTAGATAACAAAAAAAAAAAAAAAAAAAAAGAGCGCCTCCCTGGTGGTGCAGAGGTTAAAGTCTCAGTGCTACCAAACTGTTGCCAGCCACTGCAGCATGAGTTTGATTCCTGGCTAGGGGGCTGACCCACGGGGTGCAGCAGACCTCTCCTGCTCCCCTCAGCAGTATATTTCAGTCAGTCTGCCTGTTCTGCTCCTCACTCTGTCTCTGATGAGTCTTCTCATCCCCCGCACTTCTGGCCTATACCCCAGCTCTTGTATGCATAAATAAATGAAAATCAATCCTTAAAATAAAAAAGGGAAAGAAAAGAAAGGTGAGGAATGTATTAAGCATTGAGCATTATTTAATTATTGCTAAAATGTGACTTTAATTATGATTCATTAATCAACAATTACTTGACCAATATTAGGCTACTGGCCTACAATGTGCCATGACTATGGAATCAAAGATGAGTAAGACAGCTCCTAGCCTTAAGAACCACTGACAATTAACTCAATGACTTTAGAGACTTTAGATTTCCTGAATTCAGTCCATTTTACATGTATTTGGCTTCTCTACATTTTCAAGCTGCTCTGAGGAACCCTGAGGTGTGGGGAACTGAGGTGGTATCATGAAGTCTGTGCAAGTTGGGTGGAAGACAAGGGAAGTAAAAAAGGAGCTGTGAAGGCATTGTGAAGAGTCCTTCTCTTTCCAGTTCCACTGTCATTGTGATTACATTTTAAACACTGTTAAGATTTTGTTTGAAGAGGCTCCACTACTTAAAAACAAAGCAAAACAAAACACCTCAACAACAGTCATTGGGATGATAGGAGATAGTAAAGAGGTAAACTCAAGCCATAAATTCACATTCTTTTTTCAGTTTCTTCTGCAGCTTGAGGGAATACCCATCCTTCCCTCTCTCACTATCTTTCAAAGACCAGTTCAAATTACTTCCTCCCAAAATCACTCTCTTAACACCATAATCCATAGGAAAATAATAATATTCCTTTAGAAAGTATTACATATTCATTTCCCATTAAAAAAATTCCTATTATTATGTGAAGTAAAGCAAGTCAGAATGACAAGGTCAAATACTGGATATTTATTGAGTACATGATTTGATAAGGTAAAATAAAAATTAGCAGCTGTTAATAAACAAAGTCAGTTTTCTGAGTTTAAGAGGGAAGGGTGAGGGAGAAGGAGTCAAAGGGAATATTAGGAATGGTGGTGGAGAAAATAAATTACTTGAGTGTTTATCCTATAAAGGAGGTTTTTTAAAAAAAGAAAAGAGGAGTGAAATTGCTGGGTCATGTGGTAGCTCCATTTTCAGTAGTTTGAGGAACCTCCACACAGCTTTCTTTTCATAGTGTCCAACGTTGGGCCAGCAGTGTAGAAGAGTTCCTTTTTCTCCACATCCTTGTCAACATTTGTTGTTTCCTGCTTTTTATTTTTTTTTAAAGATTTATTTATTTATTCATACAAGAATTGGGGTACAGGCCAGAGGTGTGGGGGGGTGAAAGAATTCACCAGAGACAAGAGTGGGAAGCAGAACAGGCAGACTAAGTGAAATACACTGCTGAGGGGAGCAGTGGGAGAGACAGGAGAGATCTGCTGCGCCATGTGGGTTGCTCCCTGGCTGGCGGGGGAATCGAACTTGTGCTGCAGTGGCTGCATATCGCTTCATAGGTTGTGTTTTAACCCCTTGCGCCACCAGGGAGGCCCCAGTTTCCTGCTTTTTTAATATGAGCTATTCTCACAGGTATAAGGTGGCATTTCGTTATGGTTTTGATTTACATTTCCCTGATTACAAGTGATGTTGAACATTTTTTCATATACCTGTTGGCCATATGCATTTTCTCTTTAAAGAAGTGTCCTTTAAGCTCTTCTTTCCATTTTTTGACTGAATTGTTTACTTTGTTTTTGATTTACAATAGGTTAAGATATGGAAACAACCCAAATGCCCAAAAACAGATGACTGGACCAATTAAGACATGGTAGATATACACAATGGAACACTATTCAGCAATCAAAAAAAGATAAACTCATGCCATTTGCAGCATCATGGATGGAACCGGAAGGGATTATGCTCAGTGATATAAGCCAGAAGGAAAAAGAAAAATATCAAATGGTTTCACTTACAGGAGGAATACAGGGGAATGAAATAAGGGATCAGGAAAAAATAATAATAAATAGAAAAACAAAATTAGCTTGCAACTACAAATCAGATACATTCTGCAGGGCAGGGGTAAGGAAAAGGATCAAAACAAGGCAGGCAAGAGCACAAGGGACTATGGTGATGGTGCATTGGTGAATTGGTAGTGAGAATTTTATAGGGACTGCACCTGAGAGGAGAAAGCATACATTGCACAAAAGTGAACAATGATATAAAAAAAAAATTATACACACACACACTCTCTTACATAATTTGGAGGAAGGATGATAAAGGTGTTAGAGACATGACCTTTTTGTTCATTTATGTAGCAGAAAGGAAAAGGCTAGATTTCTGGTGTAGGGCCATAAATGAACAAAAGATCATATGTCTAACACCTTTATCATCCTTCTTCCAAATCATGTAAGTTATTAGCACAGTAAATAATTTTAAATTAAGGAGTTATCTGATTAAGGTTTAAGGGGTAACCACACCAGAAAATTTATCTGCATTTAACTATTCAAGAATTTCTAAATTATATTTTTTTATACCAGAAAAGACAGTACTGGCTTTGTTAAGACATACTTGTTTTTCTATTTTCCAATTTACTCAATTAAGGAGAGTAGGAAAGGAAAAGTTTCATTCAGTATCTTAGTAAGGAAACTTTAGTCCTTGCCTTTGTTAGGCTGTAGAATGTGGTTAACAATCTTCCCTATATTACATAGTTACAAATTTAATAAACTCAGGCCTCTGTGGTGGCTCAGGTAGTTGAGCGCCATACTGTGAAGCTGTGAAGCTGTTCGCAGCCTCTACAGCACAGGTTCAATCGCAGCCAGGCCGCTTCAGCACAGGTTCAATCGCGGCCAGCCCGCAAGAAGCCCACATGGAGCGGCAGATCTCTCCTGTCTCACCCACTGCTTCCCTCAGCAGTGTATTTCGTTAGTCTGCCTGTTCTGTTTCCTGCTCTGTCTCTGGTGAATCCTCTCACCCTCCTGCGCATCTGGCCTGTACCCCAGCACTTGTATAAATAAAATAAAAATCTTAAAAAAAAAAAAGTTAAAAAAGAGTTCTTAAAAAAAATTTAATAAACTCTCTGCAGCACATTTAAGCAAGCATAAACAAATCAATCTTAAGTTGTAAAATTTGGCAAATTTTAAATTTAAAATGGAGAATGAGACCCTTTCATGTCTTGGCACTTCCACTAAACTGTCGAATAATTGTGTCCAATTTCTCTGGGTTTCATATTTCTTGCTGGTCTAAGGATGTCTAAATTCCCTTTCGGCACTGAAGCAGTATGACCCTACAATTATGTCACAGAAAACCTGATTAGGAGGGAAAAAAAATCCATAAATTTCCTTTTTAATCTCAAAATGGATAAAGCTGTGTACCTGATTATTAGCCACAAATAGGCACAATTGTGCCTAAATTAATTTCATAAGTATGAATGACATTAAGAAAACAATTTTTTGTAGGACCAATAAAATCAGTCTTGTAATTTAGATTATAGATTTAAAATTTAAATAAAAACTTTAAGGTATATTGACTACTGATATTTAAGTTTTCTAATATGAAGACAAATTACAAAATCCATAAATTGCCTAACTTAGGGATCTTGATCTCAAATAGATTTAAAATTTCCTTTATCTACTGATAAAGGGAAATACAAACTCTAATGCCTAACTTAGGGATTTGCTAATATTTTTTCCATCTGGGAAATAGCTAAAATTATATTAGAAAAAATAATTCTATATATTAAAACACAAAGAATGGGACACACTATTTTTTATCTTTTGTTTAGCATCTGTTACAGTTTGTTAATGACAATTCAAACCAGAAAAATTCCATTTTTTCCCTTATTGTGTTGTATCCTAACCAAGTATTATTTCATTTTCTCAAAACTAGCTTGTGTTTGTTTTCAAACCATCAAATAACACACAATTCAGCGATGTCAGTGACATAAAGAAAAGTATCCATGGCAACAGAACAGTAAAATGTCTTTAAATAAAGAATATTATTAACTCAGTATGGAATGAAATGGGTTTACTGGATCAGAGCAATCTCCTTGTCCAAAAATTTACATGCCAGTCTACTTGCTTTGACTGACACAAACAAAAAGATTCAGAAGATGTTATTAACAGAGGAAACTAGGCCTGAGGCAGATGGGCAGTCTTTGTATTATTCTTCTTGAATTTTCTGCAATTTTTTTTTTAAGTCTAAAAAAAGTTTCAAAAACAAATCCAAAAGGAAATGGGAAGATAAAGAAGGCTTTCATTGAAGGGGAATGTTAATGATCAAACACTTGGACCCCCACTAGATGTCTCTACATGTAGCTATTTCAAATGCAATTAGACTTCACAAGAAAGAATTTTTAAACCAAAAACATCAAATAGAAGACTCATTTTCACACATTCCATAAGTGATTAGTGTTTCTCTGAGAAACTAACTACACTAGTTCTTGACCTTAAGAAGCTGACCCTAATTATCCAGTAATTATCCAAATAAACACTGTAAGTGTCCTGATGGCAATATATAAGGTAACAGAACAGAGAGGAGGGACATTTTACTCTGAATGGAGTTTCAGGAAAGTGCCCAAGAAGCAGGCTTGTAAGTGTGACCACATTGCAAATGATGTTCTGATTATCACTAAATTAAAAATTACATTGTTTCTTTAATAACTGAAAATCAATACAATCGTATATATGGTTTAAAGGCATAAGTATACCTTTATTTATTTAATCTTATCTTTATCCTATAAAAGGTTTTTTTCCCCATCTTTTTTTCCATACTGTATACATACATTTTAAAAAGAGTTGGCCAGGAAATTCAGTTAATCAGTATGTCCTTGTCTCTGTCTAAAGGAGTTTACTTACATGTTGCCATAATCTCACTGTTAACTTTCAAAAAGATTTTTAAAAATTGGGCTAATAACTTATTATTTTACCGTCCCTAGAAAAAGCAGTAAAGTCAAGTAATTTTCTGTTACCCAAAGAAATTAGCAAATTACTTTATGTTAATTAGAAAACTACTACAATTTCAATTTTAGTAGGAAATTACTCTTTGAGAATCTTGACTTTTAATGGCAGTAAGTCCATTCTCTTTATAAAGATTGAAGAAGCAGAGTAATCAGAAGGCAGGAGATAGTGCTTTTCAATATCTCTTAAAAGACCTTTACAAAACCATTTGCTTTGTGCTGTTATAAATTTTCAAAAGATAAGGCATTTTAGGAGTAATTTATAAATAACTTTAGAATATACATATCACAAGTTCCATCTCAGATAAGACCATTACATATTACGTAAAAACTTAAAATTCATAAAAATCATCAACTGCAGTAGAGCAGTTAGCAGTGTCTGGTACAGAATTCAATAAATATATGGTAAATAAAACAGCAAACACATAATTCAGGTATTCACCATCCTAGTCAAAATTATGCAACATAATTTTTTTGTAAGTCTCTACCTTTTCAATTATCTTGGTAATAAATTAAATATGGCCATTATAACATTATCAATTCAAGTCACATAGCATAAAAGTTCTGTATCCATTATTTTTACTGAGTTCTTAAGTCATCCTTTAGAAAAAATTTGAGTTTCTCTAGCTACAACAGGTATGGCAGTAGAAATTTAGTCATTTTCAAAATAGTCTCAGTGATTTAGCAACATCTTAATCAGGCTGATTAAAAAAAGGAAACACGGAAAACTTGGTATTAGAATCAAGAGGAAGAGTGGCTAAATATTTACCTACTATAGATTAAAGTCAAGACTGACCAGAAAACATGTCCAGCCTAAACCAAAGACATACGTAGTGTATTCATCCCTACTCTAACCACTGCTCAAGAGGTCTACTTCCTAGTACCTTGGAACCTTTAAAGTAGGCATTAAATAAAAGAAATCATAAGATTTGTATACTTACTGGTAAATGTTCAAGTAATGAAGTTACACTCTCAGACACATATATTATGCTTCCATCTGTCATGATTGCTAAAAAAAAACCATCAAGAGCCTGAAATTAAACATAATGGTCAGTTAAATGAAAAGAAAAAAGTATTTCACGGGACAGAAATAAAAATCTAAGATAAACAACAAAGGACTTAATATGGAAATGTCCAGAGCATTGTCAAAACACTACTTTCCCCTTTACAATACTTTAGTTTACATCTTTGTGCATTTTTAAATGCTTTGGGGAACTCTACTCTATGGCTATCTATTTGACAATAGGTTTTTAAGACACTGTTCTACCTTTATCATATATATATATATAAAAATATTTTTTTTTTCTGAAAATGACATTATTTGAATGTGTTTATATCTTCAAAGCATACACACCATCAATAGCATGTCTTTAGCACACAAAAGAACATGTTATCACCTTTTGGATATGTTAACAGAGAGGCGTATGATGTAAGTATATGGGGGAATAAAGTGAAAGGGAAATTAATCTAAAATGGTAGATAGAGGTGAGATCAAGAAAGACATTAAAAATGAGATTAAGACATAAGGAGTACTCAAGAATAATTTGGAAGCACTCTATTGATTAAGAAGGAAAAAAGAACTAAATAAGCAAAATCTCAGTGACTTTTGGAATACTCAGGGAAATTAATGAGACTGAATGAAATATGTAGTAGCAAACACAGAGAAGAAAAGACTTAGGCAAATACTGAGAAATGTGAAGTCAGAGTTTAATACAATATTTAATAATAAAGCAAACTTTATATATTACAAAGTATCTTCAATTAAGAATCTTATGACAACTGAAGAAATGAGCTCCGCAAAAAAGAGAAGCACATGAGGATGAAGAGCAGAAAAAAAAAAATGTCAGAGATAACGATGAGAAGACAGAATATAATGTCATCAGGGAAGTCAATGGAAAAGAGAATGACAAGGTGAATCAGGAAGAAAAGAGATGGTTCATTGTAAAATAAGATCAGAGGATAGGAACAAGAGAATGAGAAATGAATTTGGTGATTTTCAAAAGAGTGTGTTGATAAGAAGGTGAGTTGGACTACAATAAGTTTAGAGATAAGTGATTAACTGGAAAGCTATGATAAACAGTGTTGTGTGAACTTTAGAAGACGGACAAGTTTAAGGAGCAATCAAAGAAAGGCAAGTAAATAACAAGGGTCAAGGAAAGGCATTTTTAAAAAAAGTAACTGAAGTATATTTGTAGGCTGAGGGAAAGGAAGACCCAGTGAACAAGATGTTGAAGATGTATAGCAGAAAAGATATACTGTAAGAGGTGTTCCTGTTCTCCTACCAAGACAGTTATCACACTAAATTTGAATGCCTGTTGAATTTCAGGGCTCACTCAAAGGATAACAATCTCTGATAAGAACCATATATATCTTCTTCACACTGTATCTGCAATACTTAGCATACGTAGATTAAAAAATATCCATAGTACATCATTTATGAATCTGGGAGTTAGAAAAACCTCCCCTCTAATTCAAAGTAATTGTTGAAACATGTGTTGAATGTACAGGAAAAGGCAACCCACCACTTCACCTCCCCTTCTATGGAGGAGAGATTTGGGTATCAAAAAGAACTTATTGTGAATAGAGGACTATCTTCTACAAGAGCCCAGACAAACCCACTCTTGTTACCTTTTAATTTCAGCAAACTCAAGAAATTATCATCATCAAAACTTCTTACTACAATGATGCTTGTATTATTATTTCACAAGGAAAAGAATCAAAACAATGTTAAGGAGAACATGCTTTTCTCATGTGAAGCTAGATTACATTATCTTTGAAAGCAAATTAATATTTACTATGTTTTATTTGTTCCCAGGATATTCGCTAGTAATTGGCATATAACACTCTTTTGTGAAGAGAATGAACTGAAATTTGAATTAAATAAAACTCTTTTATTTAATCCCACTCCCAGAACCAGAGCATGAGTTTCACTCTTTGAAAGCAGGCAGACTAAACAGAGAATAACCTCTTCCAGCATTTCACCAAAGTCTTTAACAGAGGAAAGGACCCAGAGACCAGACTTCTTTGAGTAGACTATTTAAGAAAGTGGGTACATCAAAACCAAAGGGGCCTGGAGGAGGAAGATCAGAGATGTGGAATAGAAGACAGAAAAGGACATCCTCATCCCCAGACTAACAATGTGAAGCTATTCCTTCTCCTCACTGAATGATATCATCAAAATGATTCATCAGTTAAAAGTCACTGCCTTCCTATTTTATATATACTTGACCCATAACGAATGACTATAAACTTTCATTGTTTGAGAATTAAATACCTTAGTGTTTAAGGATGGAATAGAAGTACTTTGTAGATCCAGAACAGTATCTCTTGTGGATCCATATCTAAGACTACACTAGTGGGCATTAGTCCTTCCCTTGGAGAATAAGAGAGAGCTGCCAGCTGCCAAGGTGGAGAACTACATACCAGAAGACTTGACAAAGAGATCACTTTGTTCAGAGATCTGCCCAGGCTAAACTTACTTTCTGCCTTGACTTCTGTCAACCACATCTCCCTCCCCATATCCCACCCCCACCTCCCACCTACACACACACAAACAGGATAGCAAGGAATATTCCTCAGACAACAGACTTAAGAGGGAGAGACAAGTGGCAGTGGAGGAATGGAAAGAGATGCAAATGTAAGTGAATTTCAAGCTCTCAATCCCAGTTCTTTTATTTCTTAGCTATCTGACCCTAGACAAGTTGCAAGTTTTCCGGGCCTCATCCATAAAATGAAGGCATTGAGTTGAATACATAATCTTTTCTACTAGCAGCTCTAGTAGAACATCCCAAGATACAGCCTATATCTGAAATTCTGCTGAAAATGGCATCTGGACTGCTTAACTATAACCTGATCAACACGACTAGCCAAAAGTAACAAACCTTCTATAGGTTAGAAGGATCTATATTATAATATATACACACATTTATAAAATCTTGGTATATTAATGTTAGAACATATATTTACTTAGAAGTTGTAAATACTCATTGAAAGTAAAAAAAAATTTAACATATTAAAAATAAATATAATGTTTTTCAGTAATAGAATCTTAAAAGATGTGAGGAAAATCATGAGACAATTTATATTTTCAAAAATTTAAATACATGTACATTTTCTCTGTGGTATATTATAAATATTGTTATAAATTTTATAACATTTCTTTCTTAGATACCTTTGTATGTATTACATGTTTTGGCAATTAATAAAAAAAAAAACCTGTCCATTATGAAATAAAATTTAAACACAATGCTTTTCTATTTACCTAACTAGTAAAAAGATAATTTACCTTCATGAAGGTTATTAAATGAGTGTAGGTACTATACCAATTAGTGAAATTATAAGAACTTTTTCATATCAGTAAAGCAGTAGTTTATGATTAACACAAAGGGTCTCAGTCAATTGCACTGAGAACAGAAACATAAAATAAAGAGTAATTAAATGAGTTATTTCCTTCCTCTGTGGACAGTAACTTGCGTTCACCATTCCATAAACATATTTCTTCATCTAGAGAGATTATTTTGGTCAAAACCAAACTACTTTTTAGGGAGAAAAATTGACAAAATTAGGAACTATTTTTTGGTTTGTAACCTAAATGTCTGCTAACTTAAAGTCCTCATTGCTGGTTACTAAGCTAAAACTTCTGTGCCGTGCTCAGCTTTTACTGACAAGGAGTTTCACGAGCAGCAGTATGCACAGGGGCTGAGGCCATGGGATTAGAGACTTTTGACTAGTCTATCTGCAATGAAGCCTGAGCTACTTACTATGTTACTTTTGGCAAATTTCATAATCCCTCTGTTCATAAGATTATTGCAATAATTCACCAAGTTAGTATGTAAAAAGTGCCCATCTTTCAGATTTTAAGTACAGGTTTAAATATATAAAAAATATTTATATTCCAACAAATTTTCATAAAGTAACATTTCTGCTGAATACATATAGATTTACTTATCCAGTAATTAACTGTTCCATCTAAAGTATAAACAGAAAAATAACTCATTAATTTGCAAAACACTCGGTGTTACTTTAGACTTTAGTCTATATACAGACACCTAAGGTATGGCCATTATATATATGCACGTGGCACACATAAAAACTTATAGTCTAAAATATATTAGACTCAAACAAGAGATGTAGGGTATATAATGATATTACATTCCCATCTCAGCTGCTTTCCTGTATACCTTCTATGTTTACTTTTTGTTATGTATCTATTTTTCTTGCCCTTAAAGTATACCACCTCTATTTCATATTTAAGTTCTCATGGAAATTTGAGAACTTAAATATGTAAATATGTACATAACATCAATATTGCTCAATATAGGAAATGATTAGTAAATAGAAAAAATAAAATTGATAAAGTATGAATGATTCAAAACATTTGTGGATTTTATAGCTGATTGAGGTACTAAGCTCCAATTTAAGCAAATATGCTCTGAATTGTTTTCAAAAATCATTTTGTCAAAAAAGAATATTTACTTATTTTCTTTTGAAAGTGTCTACTTAAAAAGAGCTGCCTTTCAAAGTATATTTCAGTTTTACTATTTTCAAAATACTGAATTTGTTATCATTTTATATTGTTTTTATAGGTGAATTTCAATTTTTAATTAATTTTTTTTTGTTAATTTGTTTTTAAAAATCCTATTGTCCAGTAGGATACATTTCAGAGTATTAACCTGTAATAGGATGAAAATTTTTTTATTATTCTCCATTTGAACATTAACGGTGTGGCCTCAGGTAGAGAACTTCATAGCTATAGGTGTCTAACTTTTATTAAGTTTCTCAGAAATGTAGATAATACTGAAAATATGAAAAATTGCATTACTTTATCACAAAGTACTATTTGTTTACAATACTTACATCTATAAATTTTAATTGAAAATATAGTTTACAGATTTACATTAAGAGTTTTCAGTATTAAATTAATATTGTTAAAATTATACTAAAATCATTCACCCCTATGATTTCACTTTTGAGGAAAATAAAACTTTTCAAAAATTAAATCTGGACATACCTCTAACATTAACTGTGTAAACTCTTCATTACTAAGGAATGTAGGTTTCCAGTCCTGTCGAATTTCACTAGCATCTGACTGTGCAGTGATTTCTGTAAACAGATTATTTGACACATTAGTGGCATACTCCAAGCCCCGGGCTAGGGTTGGGGAGTGGGGTGGTATTCACGGAAGTCCTACAAACTGCCTCTTCTCTTCCCACTCTAAAGATGAGCTCTGTAGGTATCTATTGGTCGTGGTAGGTATCAGGAGGTCTAGATTTTGGTCTGATGAAATATTTGTCCTAATGTGACAAATTATTTTCTTGGATTTGGTCTCTTGGTAAAACCAGTCTTGATTGTTCTCTGGGGAGGCTTGATAGCCTGTGTTGCTGATAGGCCTATGAGTGCTTCCTGCTTGACAAAATAACCAAACAAAAATCAAAACAAACATATTAGATCAAGTATTATGAAGAAATTCTCTTTCTTCTTCCTTTCCTTGCCACTGAAATGGTAGTACCTAGAGCAGACATAAAGATGTGAACCTGGAAAAAAAGGAACCAAGGAGGTGAGTCAATCTGCCCTTTTAGCAGAGAAGACTTTAGGCCTGCATAGAGTCAGGCAGAAAGATTCTTTGCAGAGTGAGCTGCTCTATCTTAAATAAACAAGGAGCCTAATTTAAGATTTTAGGAAAGCCATTATAGACAAAACCCCAGAGTAATTCTGCTTAGTGTCCTCTTACACGTTTTCTTAGTAGTAGAGAGATGGTCAAATATTTGGAGATCCCTAACTTGGGGCACATATTTAACACTATTATAGTTTATTTTGCTACATATATCTAATGGATTTACTTATGAAAAAGCTATTCATAACTGATGAAATCTAAACTGTTTAAGTAACCAATGTATTTCTACTTTTAATGCAGACATATTAAAACAACCAAGCAAAATAAAAATTGTCATAGACATTATTGCACAAAAAATATTCTACTTTGCAGTGAAAAGTATAGACCAAATTGTTCTGATTTTTTTTGCTACCAGGTACACAAATAAAGCACATTAACCTGTCACATAAAATCTGCTATAACAGAAATGTTTATTGTAGACTATTTAGAGTAACTAATAGTATAGGTAACTAATCCATAAAGTAAAAGCCATGCTTTTTCAAATTCACATCAATTATATACATTCCGAAAAAAAGATTTAAATCCATCAGCAAATTCCATCAAGTTTAAACAGGTTTTGGAGAAATAAGTATAAATCTTGTTCAAATTATTTTTATACGAATTATATACCTGGTTTGAAAAAATCCTGACCAGCTTAATGACAAAATTAATCTTCTGTTGTCAAGGGCAAATGCATGCATGTCATATTATTTCATTTCATTCAACAATCATTTATTGAGCTACAATGTCAGAGGGACTGAACATGCTATCTGACAATGACAACTCTAATGGTACTACTGTCTATAAAGATGAAATGTAACGATAGTAATATGGCAATAAAAATGAAGACAAGCAATTCTGACACATTTACAAAAGAATCAAAAGGATTTTGGCAACATTGTACTAAGAAATATGAAAAATATGCAAAAGTCTTTAGGTTTGAGTCCTACAGTCTGAAAGGTGGTTGGTGGAAAATGGTAAAAAAAAAAAAATTTTTTTTTGGTGACTTGACACCACCATTAAAACAAATTCAGTTTTAGCACTGAGTTTGAGGACATGCAAAAGAAAGATCCTGAAGTTATCTGAAATCAAAGACTGAAAAGTTTGCATCAAAAAATGCAGATTTAGTAGTTTTTAAGAGGGTAATAGCTGAAGTTATGAAATGAGATAACCAAGGGAAAGAACGTAAAGAAAGTAAATACAAAATATAAGACCTTGGGATGTCCACTTTCGCCACTGTTTTTCAATATAATACTGGAAGTCCTAGCCAGAGCAGTAAGACAAGAGAAAGACATACAAGGAATCCAAATAGGAAAAGAAGAAGTCAAACTATCACTATTTGCAGATGATATGATAATATACATAGAGAACCCCAAAAACTCCACAGAAAAACTAATTCAACTCATCAATCAGTTCAGTAAAGTGGCAGGATACAAAATCAACACACAAGTCAGTAGCCTTCCTATACACAAACAATAAATCTGAAGAAGAAATCAAAAAAACCATCCCTTTTATTATTGAAACAAAAAAAATCAAATATTTGGGAATAAATCTAACAAAAGAGGTAAAGGACCTATACAAAGAAAACTATAAAACACTGTTAAAAGAAATAGAAGAAGACACAAAGAAATGGAAAGACATCCCCTGCTCATGGATTGGGAGAATAAACATTATTAAAATGGCCATCCTACCAAAAGCAATATACAGATTCAATGCTATTCCAATCAAAATTTCAATGTCATTCTTCAAAGAAATAGAACAATTATTGATGAAATTCATATGGAATCACAAAAAACCCCGAATAGCCAAAGCTCTCCTGAAAAAAAAAGAAGGGAATGGAGGCATCACACTCCCAGACTTCAAACTCTACTACAAAGCCATAATCATCAAAACTGCATGGTATTGGAACAAGAACAGACATACAGACCAATGGAATCGAATAGAAAATCCAGAAATAAACCCACAGATTTATGGTCAACTAATATTTGACAAAGGAGCAAAGACTATGCATTGGAGCAAAGAAAGTTTGTTCAATAAATGGTGCTGGGAAAACTGGGTCGCTACATGCAAAAGAATGAAGCTTGACCACTACCTCACACCATACACAAAAATCAACTCAAAATGGATTAAAGAACTAGACATAAGACCTGAAACCATAAAATACATAGAAGGAAATATAGGCGAAACACTACGTGATTTGCACATCAAAGACATCTTTACAGACACATCACCCAAAGCAGTGATAGTGAAGGCAAAGATAAACAGCTGGGACTACATCAAATTAAAGAGCTTCTGCACAGCAAAAGAGACAATAACAAAAACAAAGAGAAACCCCACCAACTGGGAGAACATTTTTGCACACAACACTAATGATAAAGGACTGATCACAAAAATCTGCAAAGAGCTGATGAGACTCAACAACAACAAAGAAAATAATCCTGTCAAAAAATGGGCAGAAGAGCTAAAAAGAAACTTCTCTGAAGAGGAAATGCGAATGGCCAACAGGCATATGAAAAAATGTTCAACATCACTTGCAATCAGGGAAATGCAAGTCAAAACTACCATGAGATACCATCTTATACCAGTGAGAATGGCACATATTAAAAAAACTAGCAACAACAAATGTTGGCGAGGGTGTGGAGAAAAAGGAACTCTTCTGCACTGTTGGTGGGAGTGCAAACTGGTCCAACCACTATGGAGAGCTGTGTGGAGATTTCTGGACCTACTAAACATAGAGCTTCCATATGATCCAGCAATTCCACTCCTAGGTATTTACCCAAAGGACACAGAAACATCAATTCCAAAGAACACCTGCACCCCTATGTTTATAGCAGCACTATTTACAATAGCTAAGCTTTGGAAACAGCCCAAATGCCCAAAAATAGATGACTGGATCAAGAAGATGTGGTACATATATACCATGGAATATTACTCAGCATTCAAAAAAGATAAACACATGCAATTTGCAGCAACATGGATGGCGCTGGAAGGGATCATGCTCAGCGAAATAAGCCAAAAAGAAAAAGAAAAATACCGGATGGTCTCACTCATAGCAGGAATCTAGAAAACTTAAATAAGGGACCAGGAAAATGAATAACTATAAGAAAGTGAAAATCAAAATCAACAAAAAACTATGAACCAGAGACACTTTTTGGGGGTGGGGGGCGGGAGAGAAGGGATTGGGGTCAGAATGGGGGGGTTGCAATTGTATGGGGAATATAAAAATAAAATTTATTATTTAAAAAAAAATATAAGACCTTGGAAAGTCTGACTTAAAGGCAGGAAAATAAAGAGGAAAGAAGTTTGTTTCAGTTAAGGAGGAGGTAAATGAGTAAGTACAGTACAGCACAATGCAAAGAAAAAAGCAGCCAGGGGAAGATGGATTAAAATTTCTACTGTTTCAAACATGCAGAAGAAGAGGTAAAAGAATAAGCTATTGCTTTATTGGTGACAGAGATGGTGAAAGGGTAATGGCATTAGTGAAACCAACAAAAATACTTTCAAAGAATGGTGAAGCCTAAGCCAGGTTGGACATGCATTATCAAGTGAGCTAGGGAGAAGTAAAGAGAGGCACTAGTCATAAATTCTCCTGAGAAGTCTTCCAGTTTCATTTGCATCCGATAAAGGAAGTATCTTTTTACAAGTTCTTCATCTATTATCTTTGCTACCAAAATACAATTCTTTCTTTTCTTTACAATTCTTTCTTTTCATGACCCATTTAGTCAAAGTCATTGTCTCCAACATATAATCATCTTATTTTAAAATATAGTGTTTATTCCCTGGATATACACTGAAACAAGTTTTTAAAATGACAAAGCCCTCATGATCTAGCTCTTATTCTTTCACATACACCCATAACTTTCCAATTCAAATTATGCTCCAGTTACACTGAACTCTCCTACTTCTGTTTTTGCACACAGTATTTTCTCTGTATGAATAACTAGTTTCCTCATAAATGGAAAACTCAGCTGAAAATCAACTATTTTTAAGTCTTCCCTGATACATCCTTTTCTCTTTGTTCTCACAGTAAATATACAGCTTACAAGCACTTCTCACGTTGTAATTATCTGCATTGTAATTAGCTGTTTACAAGCTTGTCTCCCTTGACTTAAGTTATATAAGGGTGAGAAATGTTACCTTGCATCACAAGAATCTAGGATATAGTATGTACTAAATAAATGCTTGTTGAATGAAAGAACATACTTCCTAGGCAATTGATTTCTTCCTCATTAAAAATTTAAAAAAACAGTCAGTCTTAAGCATCATTGCCAAGACTGTATTACATTTGGTTTAAGAGTCTACTATTTAAAAAAAAAAAAAGGATTTTACAAGTTAAAAATTTACCTTTATGTTTTCGTAAAAAATCAATGCTCTTCTGTAGAACAGTAGACTTGTCCATCTTTCTAGCATTACCAGGAAGCATGGATCCCAGTTCTTTAATGAGAACATTAAATTGATCTCTACGTTTCTTTTCAGATTTGTTTCTAGATACTCTAGTGAAATAAAAAAACAAGCAGTTTCAAACAATCCATTTAATTACACAAATAACAATGCTAAAGTTGTCACAACCACAGAGCACTGTCTGTTGATATCGATAGTAACATTTATCTCCTAAGTTACCAATAATATGCAATTAATTTGGGCAATAATTTTTCTTCCCAGTTTATCACTAAAGGAACTTTTACATAATAAGAATCTGTTACACAGATGTTTTTATAAAAAAATGCCAACAATACAAACTGTATTTAAATCTCAGGCTTTAGTTATTTATTTTAAATATTTATTTATTTATGCATACAAGAACTGGGGTGTAGGCCAGAAGAGGGGAGGGTGGGAGGATTCACCACAGACAGAGTTGGGAGCAGGACAGGCAGATCTACTGAAATACACTGCTGAGGGGGGCAGTGGGCTCTACAGGAGAGGTCTGCCGTGCCATGCAGGTAAGCAACGTAGCCTCGGATCGGATCTAACTCTTGGCAGTGGCTGGATATAGACAGAGAGAGCTGTGTCTTTAAACCCGAGACCAGCAGGGAGGCCCTTAGGCTTTATTTAATCTATTTTTTACCAAGAATTGTATTTTCCTCAATGGTTACTAAGAATATCACAGAAATATTTTGTGCAAATACTATTATGTGTGATGACAAATTGTTAAAAATTATTGAATAGGGAAAACTTTACCATTGCCTGTAAGTTTTAAATTACAAACAAATCTAACAGTAGAAAACTCCCCTACCTCCCAGCTTAATCACAGATTGTTCTTCTCATTTATTCTACATCCCAATCTCAACCTTTCCATTTGTCTCTCAGCTCCTTCATTATATAGCCAATTTTTTTCATTTAAATGTCACATAATAACTAATAAACAGTAAGCACTCAAAATGTAAATCTAAAATGAATAATTATTACTATCCTATGTGAAGCAATAGCCAGTAAATAAATACTTAGCTGCACTGAGAGCTTTTGAGATAAGTAAATACAATTATGTAAGTAGAAATTAACCATTCTGTAATACCGTGAATACCTGCTTTGTAAAATCAGATTTCCAAATTCAGCTTTTGTTTAAACAAAGTATACTACTTTCTCAAAGTGTCATTGGATAACTTTATTTATTCTGTATTAATAAAAAAAAGTTTAACTGTTCAAACCTCTTAAGTAACATAACAGATATTAACTAACTTCTTCAAACATGGAAAGCTTGTCATAAAGACAGACTATGCTAATGAGGGCTAGGGAAAATGGGAAAGACAAGCCCTTTCAAGAAATTCATGTAATTCCTATGGAAACTTGGAGGAAGCAAGGATGGCATTCTAGGGTCGGGGTGAAGTGAAAATAATAAATACTGAAAAAAATCATGAAAGTTTTTATGCTATGTAATAGGATTTTAATTTAATCCTGAAAGCCGTGGAAGGCACTTAAAGGTTTTAGGCAAAGAAATGACATGAATAGATTGCTTGTTAATAAGACCATTCTGGCATCCATGATGAAAAGATCATGATTGGCAAAACAAATTCATTTAGCAAATACTACTAATTAGTTACTGTATGCCACATAGGACTGAGGAGCCACGTAACCATTTAGGGGACCGCTGTCACACCACTCCTTTAAACCACAGTGTCAGTGTTAATGGAGCAATGTGGGTTGAAGGTTAAGAGACAGAACTGACAATTTTAGGTAGATTGGATTAGATTTTGGTGGGGAGATCAAAGAATCTAAGAGGATCCCCAATACTGTTAATGCTGTTTCTTAAGGTAAAATACAACATGTGATACTGGTTTTGGTGGACAGATGATTCAGGGAAGAATTGAGATATGGTGAAATTGTCCATTTGATATTTTAAAGGGCATATATGAGAGGCACTTAGATATATAGCTTTCATTACTTTCCTCTAGAGATGAGTCAGAAATAAGTATCTGAGAATTAGTATATATGAAGTACTTTAACACAAGTTAAAAAAATAACAGCCAATATTTGTTGTATACTTATGTGCTAGGCACTACTATAAATGTTTACAAATCTCATTTAAAAACAAACTTTAATTCACATTAGACTCAAGTTGAAAGTATTCAGACCTTGTAATGAATGGCCCCACTGATAACAAATCACAGATGTGTCATTTTGGGGGTAGGTACAAAACTCCCTTTGTTCTAGGTTCAACACGAAGGTCTTTAACTCCTCACTGCTGTTAGAGTTTAATGTGGTGGTTTTTCATTTTTACAGCATAGTTATGAGATTCATTCTTTCTCCAAGATTTTCTACAGACACAGTAATCCTGGTTTCTCAAAATCATGATCAAACAAATCTTCAGAATCTCCACAAACAGAATATCCATAGCTCACTTTATGCATTTATAAACTTGGTCTTTAAGACTCTAAGCCAACTCCTTAGTGTTCTGCCTCTTCATTCAAGCAAGACATTCTTTCCATCTTATCAGAGACCTTATCTCTGCCCTAAAGATTTTGTAAGAAGTCTACCCACTCCCATTAGATTAAGGTTTTTGTTAAGGGATTATCCTGTATATTTGTTTTAGCTTTAAGTCTAAATCTTTTCATTTCCTTGAATAATGTTGTATAGCTTTACTCAGAATCTTCAAAAATATACTCTAAATCACTTATTTAACTATTTAGCAAATCCTGGTTACTGTAAGGGCTTGTCTTATACTTTAGTACCTTTTATTCTGCTAAAGATAGACATTCAAAAACAATTCCTTATTATGTTTCTTTTTTTTAATTTTAATTTTATTTTTATATTCCCCATACAATTGCAACCCCCTTATTTTGACCCCGATCCCTCCTTTCCCCGTGTAATGTTCTAATTCCTCTACCATCGTTCAAACGCCATGCAGTTCAATGGTGCTAGGGGAAAAACACGAAGTGTTTATTTTTTTCAAATTTTATTTATTTATATATTTTTTACATCATTGTTCATTTTCAAACAATGTTTGCTTTCTTTGCTCAGGCGTAGTCCCCATAGAATTTCCACCATCAATTCACCTGTGCACCATCATCACAGTCCCCTGTGCTCCTCCTTCCCGCCTTCAATCCCTCTCCCTCCCCTTCCCCTGCAGGATGTAGAAGTATTTATTATTCACTCTCAGTGACTACAAACTTGGCTGTAAAGCTACCTGGACACTCTCTCCTGATACTATAACTGTGAAGGCTCCTATTTAAGGGTTGGAGCCCTCACTACTACCACCATAGCTCTAGATCCTATTCCCTCACTTACTTGATAATATCATTCCCAAAATCCTCCTTCCTTTATGTCCCTTTTTACTGGACAACAAAAGCATATCAAAGGACACAGAAGCCAATCACACAAGACCTTCCAATGGTCAAAATTAAAACAAGTTGAGCAAAAAATAAAAAATATGCCAATGGAGTATAACCTAAAGGATAGAATATATATAGTCCATGCAGATATGAGATAATTTTTCTTATAGAAGAATTTCAAATATTGTAGGTTACCCCCTCTTCCAAAAGGAGATACTCCAATCTCCTGCCATTCCAACACTAACTTGCTTCCAAAAAATAGAGTAAGAGAAAAACAGCAACTACAGTGATGAATTCAGGCAAACCCTACCTTAACAAAATGTCCCCAGTAATGTCATCAATAATGATATGAAGAGAGGGAACTTTTAGAGGGTAGTTTTATTTAATTGATAAACTTTATCTGACAGTCTAAGCTCTTTCACTTTACTAATATATCTAGATATTGAGGTTCTTAAGGCAGATAGCCTTTGGAAATTAATGATTTACTATTTGGTTACTATGAAATTTATTCATTATTCATTTACATCTTAAGTTGAAATACCTTTTTGCTTTGTCCTTGTCATCTTCTTCCACCAACCCGTCAAAAATACTACCATCATCTCTAAAAAAAAAAAGGAAGTTGATAAAGAATATGAGAGACTTAGCAACATCAATACTAAATTCTCAATGATATGAATCAAATCATTACTGATCTAAGATTTATGTAGGATGGATTGTACAAATTCAAATTCAGTAGCTACTCACTTGTTTTCTAATAAATACTTGAAAATTAAAGTTTGGCTATATTTAATTAAATATTCAAACTTTATTACATGTGAATTTAAAACTGCTTAGTGGTACTATGTAAATAATATGCAAAACAAGAATTTAACTTAATCCTAAATTAAATATCTTGTTTCAAATCTTTAGTAATCAGCAAAAACTACAGGAAGCCAGTGTATTTGCCCATTACATAAAATTATTCACTTAATTATAATAGCATAGCTTTAAAAACATTTTCTGAGACATTCACTTTAGCAAACCACTAATCACTCATAAACATGCCAATATCTAGCATATTAACTTATATTAATACTTTCATTATTGAAAAATAATATGTATTAAATACATGTTTATTTATATTAAATGCACTTATATATATTTATATTACAGCTATATTTGTATTACATATACTTCATTGTTTATTGACAAATAATTATTAGCACTAGTGTGCTAGGCTCTGTTCTGGACATGGTTATAGAGCAGTTAACTATTCATACACATCCCTACTATCCTACAGCTTATTTTCTAGTAGAAAGAAACCAACATGAAAGTAAGTAATAATGAAATTCTTTTTTAAAGGGGTAATATTTTAGTTATGTGGTGGTTGCTTAACTCTGGGTGGTAAGAGAAGGACTTGCTGAGGAGGGGACATTCTGATCTGAGATCTAAGTGAACAGAAGCGGGGTTGGTCATTCTAACAAATGAAGTCAAGAGCACAGGTGTCTAACCCCTTAACCTACAAAGCAAGTTACTTTTAGGTGACTTACAGTCCATGAAACACAACTGTCTGTGGCACTAAAGTGCCTGCTGGACACACTATTGAAATCATCTGCAAATTCTGTATTGCGCAGGTCCAGCAGGTTCAGATTCCATGTAGGCAATGAAATTTATGAAAAATTCTGTATGCATATGTATTTTATTAATGAGAAAGTCTATAGCTTTCACCATATACAGAGATTAAGAACTACTTACTGTTTTATGTATGAACACAGATGTCATCCCTAGAGAGTATATTGTCTAGAATTGGCAATCATTCCAGAAGCACAATGCCAAAGTCATATTTATTCCCCCAGTGAACATCTTTTCTGAGAAGACTACACATAGATCCTGCCTGAAAATATGGCACAGCCCAAAATCTATGGCTGTGCTGCAAGCAGGTCTCTTTAAGTTAATACCCTGGGCCTTAGGTCTTAAGTTCTGGTATAGTATAGATCTACACTGCTTATTCTCCTACAAAAGGGAGACACATAGGCCCCAGATGTCAAAGCCACTGCTAGATACAACACTGGCCACAAAATTCTTTAAAAAATTTCCTGTGGAAGAACCACACAGTATAGTATAATAAAAGTTATTAGCATCAGAGCAACAGAGATCATAGTTAGAAATTCTCACTAATTACATGACCTTCAACAAGATATTTAACTACTCTGACCTATGGTTTCTTATCTGTAAAATCTCATGGAATATTGTGAGGTTAAGTGCAACAACATATAGAAAGCATGCTATACATTAGCTACCAAAAGAGTAGGTACTTTAAAAAGTTTCTGTATTGAAACAAATTTAAGGCACTATTAAATGTAAGACTTACTATTTTATGTACCACTAAGAAAGACTAAAACATGTGAACAGTTAAACTATGATAAGTCAATTGTTAGATGACCCCAATGTCAAAGATGTTTAAAAAATAAATAAATATAAAAACCATAGGACTCTTAAATATCAAAGCAGCAAGGGGGCTTATCCTTTTCCAAAGAGTAAGACTTTAAATTACAATTTCAACTAATGAAATCCTAAAAATAGTTACATTATATTAGCCACAAAAGCAAAGATGCTTAAAGATATGCAGTTACTCTAAAGAACACTGATGCAAAGATCCTCAATAAAATCCTAGCCAACAGAATCCAACAATGAATCAGAAAGATAATTCACCATGACCAACTGGGACTTATACCAGGGGCTTAAGGGTGATTCAACATTTGAAAATCAATTAATGTAATCCAACACATCAAAAAAAAAGAAAAAGAAAAACCATATGATCATATCAATAGATGCTAAGAAAGCATTTGAAAAAGTTCAACATCCATTTGCAGACAATATGATAATATACACAGGGAATCCTAAAAACTCCACAGAAAAATTAATCAAAATAACCAGTTTAGTAAAGTAGGATACAAAATCAACACACAAAAAATCAGTAGCCTCCCTAAATGCAAACAATCAATACGAAGAAGAAGAAATCAAGAAAACTATCCCTTTCATCACTAAAACAAAAAAGTCAAATACTGGGAATAAACCTAACAAAAGAGATGAAGGACATATACAAAGAAAATTATAAAACATTGTTAAAATAGAAGAAGACACAAAGAAATGGAAAGACATCCCCTGCTCTTGGATTGGAAGAATTAACATCATCAAAATGGCAATCCTACCGAAAGCAATTTACAGTTTCAATGTTATTCCAATAAAAATGTCAATGACATTCTTCAAAGAAATAGAACAAATATGGATGAAATTCATATGGAACCATAAAAAAACCTCAAATAGGCAAAGTCTCCTGACTAAAAACAAAAATGGAGGTGTCACACTCCCAGACTTCAAACTATACTACAAAGTCATAATAATTAAAACTGCATGGTATGGGAACAAAAACAGATACATAGACCAATGAAATTGAATAGAAAACCCAGAAACAAACCTACATATTTATGGCCAACAAATCTTTGACAAAGGAGCAAAGACTATGCAATGGAACAAGGACAGCTTTTTCAATAAGTGGTGCTGGGAAAACTGGACTGCTACATGCAAAAGAATGAAGCTCGACTACTACTTCACATCATGCACAAAAGCCAACTCAAAATGGACAAACGAATTGGACATAAGACTTAAAACCATAAAAGATATAGAAGAAAATACAGGCAAAACACTACATGACATACAACTCAGTAACATCTTTAAAGACATATCCCCCAAAGCAAAGAAAGTGAAGGAAAAGATGAACAGCTGGGACTACATCAAATTAAAAAGCTTCTGGGCATGGCAGACGTCTCCTGTCTCGCCCACTGCTCCCCTCAGCAGTGTATTTCATCAGTCTGCCTGTTCTGTTCTCCACTCTATCTCTGGTGAATCCTCTCACCCTCCCGCGTGTCTGCCTGTGCCCCGGTTCTTGTATAAATAAATAAATAAATCTTTAAAAAAAAAAAAAGCTTCTGTACAGCAAAAAAGACATTAACCAAAACAAAGAGACACCCTACTGACTGCGAGAAAATTCTGGCACACAATACTACTAATAAGGGACTGATCACAAAGATTTACAAAGAGCTGATTGCAACTAAGCAAAAACAAAGTAAATAAACAGTCAAAAACTGGGCAGAAGTGCTAAAAAGACACTTCCCCAAAGAGGAAATTGCAAATGGCCAACAGGTATATGAAGAAATGTTCAACATCACTTTTAATCAGGGAAATGCAAATCAAAACCACACTGAGATACCACCTTACACCAGTGAGAATGGCTCATATTTAAAAAAACAGGAAACAGGGCCTCCCTGGTGGAGCAAAGGGTTAAGCACCGCACTGTGAAGCAGTCCCCAGCCTCTGTAGCACAAGTTCAATCCCCCTGACCGGCCAGGGAGCAACCCATATGATGAAGCAGACCTCTCCTGTCTCGCCCACAGCTCCCCTCAGCAGTGTGCTTCAGTCTGCCTGTTCTGTTCCCCACTCTGTCTCTGGTGAATCCTCTCACCCCCACACCTCTGGCCTATACCCAGCTCTTGTATGCATAAATAAATAAATCTTAAAAAAAAAACAAACAACAAAACAGGAAACAACAAATGTTAGCGAGGATGTGGAGAAAAAGGAACTCTTCTACGCTGGTAGTAGGAATGCAAACTGGTCCAGTCACTATGGAAAACCATGTGTAGGTTCCTGAAACTACTAAAAACAGAGCTTCCATATGACCCAGCAATTCCACTCCTAGGAATCTACCCAAAGGACACAAAATCATTAATTCAAAAGGATACCTGCACCCCTATGTTTACTGCAGCACTATTTACAATATCTAAGATATGGAAACAACCCAAATGTCCAAAAATAGATGAGTAGATCAAGAAGACATGGTATAGGGCCTCCCTGGTGGCGCAGCGGTTGAGCGCTGGGTTGCGAAGCTGCTCACAGCCTCTGCAGCACCAGTTCAATCCCCAGCTGCTCCCCGGCCACCTGAGGAGGGTCCCACATGGCGCGCAGACGTCTCCTGCCGCCTGCTGCTCCCCTCAGCAGTGTACTTTGGTCCTTCTGCCTGCTCTGCTCCCCAATCTGGCTCTGATGAATTCTCTCACCCTCCTGCACTTCTGACTGTACCCAGTGCTCGTATAAATAAATAAAAATAAATCCTTAAAAAAAAAAAAAGAAGACATGGTATATGTACACAGTGAAATATTACTCAACATCAAAAAAGATAAACTCATGCCATTCACAGCAACATGGCTGGAACTGGAAGGGATCATGCTCAGTGAAATAACCCAGAAAGAAAAAGAAAAATATTGGATAGTTTCATTTAAAGGAGAAATGTAGGGGAACCAAAATAAAGGATTAGGAAAAAAAAAAAGATAATAAAAAACAAAATTTATAGGCAACTATAAATCAGAGACACTCTGCCGGGGATGGGGAGGGAAAGGGATTAAAACAGGGAAGAGAAGAGCACAAGGGACTAGGGGGACAGTGCATGGGTGAATTGGTGGTGGGACTTACACGGGGACTATACACTTGAGAGGAGAGAGCATACACTATACAAAAATGATGAAAAATATGTGTAAAATAAAAATAAATAAATAAATAAAAGTATGGAGTTAGCACCAATAGATAAGGAGAAAAAGGACAAGAAGTACAGAGATTACAGAGTACCGAGCAAACATTTTATCACTTCCTTCAGAGCAGCGCTGACCAAATCACTCAAAATTATAGCCCATTTCAAACGCTGACTCTAGATAATATTAACATATCTTACTTCATTACAGAAATCAAACATAGTAGTAATCATTTTTAAGCGCAAAACTCTTTTTATCAGCTTGATATAGACCACTGCTGTAATGGCAAATTATAAAATAGATTTATATAATTAAAAATAAAAGATTCTCTAAAAACATACCTGTCGACAATCGAGCTCATTTTATTACAGCTTACGGTGAACAACGTAACATATTACGTTTTCGTCTTGTGGTAGACATTTGTACTTCTCCTTGGGTGAAAGGAAAAATAAACAGTCATTAGTTTTCTAAAAATCTTATTTTTACATAGTAATCCTGAGAAACACTGCTATCATAGAGACTTCATATGTTTTTGTTTCTACCGAAGACTGGATCATTATTGTCAAGCAAATACCTATAGCACATTAGAAGTTTTATGTCCTCCAAAGAAAGTATAGAGGAAAAAATTCAGGCTGATCATTTTTTTCCTACTATAAAACCAAAGTTAAAAAAGACACTCAATATTCAGTATGTATGCTAGACTATGTAACTGTAAACAGGCGGTAATAACATCAACTACTTGACAACAAACAGTTGTTATTAAGTCTATTTTATTAAACATGATGTTAAGATTTAGGGATACAAGGATGAAAGACAGTTCATGTAGTCCAACACAGTAATCCTGAGAAATACTATATGAGAAATTGAGTAGGGAGACAGATGCCTAAATAATTATTAATAAACAAGTTAAGAAAAGCAGATAAGGGATAATCAGAGGAAATATTCTTGATGACGAGTTTGTCAGGTGATCTAAGATTCTTACTGAAAATACGGTCCAGAGACCACAGCATCATCGGAGAACTTTTAAAAGACCAAATCTTGGATCCCAACTCAGTCCTACTAAATAATAATAATAATACTAAATAATAATTTACATTTTAACAAGATCCCATGTGATCTGTTCAAACATTTAAATTTGAGAAATAACAGCCTACAGGAAAGGAAGGAACAAATTCTAAGGCACAAGAAGAGCAATTTGCAAAGGCACAAAACTATGAGGTGAGAGAGCATCATATTTGAGTAACTAAGAGGCTTAACATTTCCTTTAGAGAAAAATCTAGGCATGGTACAACAAAGCTTTTATTTACCAAATCACAAAGTGAGAAAAGGAGTGGTAGAGTAGTGAAGGTAGTAAGTCAAGTAGAGATAAGCCTTACATCAAAACATCTTAACCCCACACTGGAGGAATTAAAATGTACTGCCTTCACTATACATCTGACAAGGGACTGATACCAAAATTCTTCAAAGAGTTCGTACAACTCAACAAAAAGAAAACAAAAATGGTCAGAAGAACTAAACAGGCACTTCTCCAAAAAAGACATGTAGATGGCCAACAGGCATATGAAAAAAATGTTCATCATCACTAGTCAACAGGGAAATGCAAATCAAAACCACAATGAGCTACTCAGACCAGTAAGCATGGCTCACATTAAAAACAAACAAACAAAAAAACCAAAACCAGAACCAGTAAGGATATGGAGAAAAAGGAACCTTCTTTTACTATTGTTGGGAATGTGGAATTGTCCAGCCCCTGGAACACACTTCTGAAGTGCAGAGATTCCTCAAAATACTAAAAATGGATCTCTTATATGATCCAGCAATTCCATTACTAGGTATCTACCCAAAGAACATAAAAATACTAATTCAGGGCCTCCCTGATGGCACAAGGGATTAAGTCTCAGCACTATGAAGTTATTGTAAGCCACTGCAGCTTAAGTTCAATCCTTGGCCAGGGAGCTGACCCACATAGGGGAGCAGACCTCTCCTGTCAGACCCGCTGCTCCCCTCAGCAGTGTATTTCAGTCAATCCACCTATTCTGTTCCCCACTCTATCTCTGTTGAATAGGCTCACCCCCTCTCTTCTCCATACCTTTGGCCTACATTCCAGCTCTTGTATGCATAAATAAGTAAAATAAATCTTTAAAAAAATGCTAATTCAAAAGAAAATCTGTACTCACATGCTTATAGCAGCACTATTTACAATAGCCAAGATATGGAAACAACTAAATACCCTAGAACAGACGAGTGGATAGAGAAAACACGGTGCATGCGCATGCGTGCACCCGTGCACATACACACACACAAAATGGAATACTACTCAGTGATCAAAAAAAAAAAAAACAACCTCATCTCATTTGTGGCAACAGAGATGAAACTGGAAGGAATTATCATAAGTAAAGCGAGCCAGAAATAAAAAGATAAATACCGATGGTTTCTTTTATAAGTGTAATATAGAGAAAGCAAACAAAAGATCAGAAGGATCAAAGAAACTTTAAAACCAACTCTTGAAAGCTGAGCCATCCAGGAGAGGAGGGGGAGGGAAGGAAACGGAGGCAGAAGAGCACAAGGGACTATGATGCAGGGCTATAGGTGCTCTGGTGGTGGGAAAAGTATAGTGAACATACCTGAAGGAAAAAATCCTATGTTGTGAAAAAACGAACAAGGAAGTGAAACAATAATATGTCATTAATTATAAAAAAAAAGATATGAACATTGGCAAGCATGTAGAGAAAATGGGTCCTTCAAACATTACTGGTTGAAATGTATAATGATACAGCTTTGGCAATTATAGACAAAAATTGGTAACCCTCAAAATTCGCATGAACCAGTGAAATGATAAGCTAAATGTATATTTATATAATGGGATACTACTCACTAATAAAAATGAACTACTGATAAGTACTGAAAATAAAACAAATTGTACTGCCTTAAAAATGCTTTTTTTCCTTATCTCCCTCCCCTTAGAAATGATTCTTAAGTCTAAAGTTTATCTCTCTATATTCTCTATATCAGTTTTTCTAAAATGTAAGGAAGGTTTTATCCATCCAAGATACTTATGTCCTATAATCATGGATTAAATAATGAGTAATCACCTTAATTCTAATATACATCCTAGTAGTTCTAAGGCATAAGACATTCTACCTTAACTACCATGTTTTTCCTTCAAAATTTAGACAATAGTATAAATTAATGTGTAACTCTAACTAAACCAGTAAAGATTAAAGGTGTTCTAAGAACATGAGATTCTAAAATACGCTATCACTGTTTTCAAATGTACATTCATAAGAGGAAGAAAGAATAACCCTAGATAAAAGATACTGCATTGCCAAATGGTTAAAGTTGCACAAGTGGGATAGTGAAAAATGAGGAATTTTTAAAAGAAAATGAGTGGGGGAGTCAGAGGTAAAAATAAAAGAAGTAGCACTGGTTTTAAGTGCCTGGGTCAGCATCAGCAGATGGAACACAGAAATACAGTATTTTAGAGTGAGAAGAGACTTTATAGAAGACCTAAGTACCATCCTCTGTTCCAACATATATGTTCATCATCATGTAATAACAGAAGTTTCTACCACTAGAAAAACAATAACACAAAAAGTAACAATCAATTTGAGTGAATTTAAACAGAGCAGTTTCAGATTAAAATTTAAAAGACTAGTTCTGAGCCTTACATGGCACTGATTATAAGCTTGTTTAATCATCAAAAGATAGAAAAGAGGGCAAACTATGGTGGGGGGGAAAGAACCCCAAGAATTAGGTTTTAGACTATAGGAAAGTCCACACTGACTATAAAAAGAGTCCATTCCAAATTGTCTAGAAGATACAGACTGATGATCTACTAGGTTATTTTACTACTGTTAACAAAGTATTTTCAAATATTATTTGTTGTCCAGCTAACTGAAAATCACAGGACTCTAATTGAAAGGAAAACCATATATCTCTAATTAAGTGAAAACCATATATCTCTAGCTGTTTTGTTATAAGATATTTTCTCTACTTCTCTAGCCCACTGATAGACAAGCTATATTAAAGGGAAAGATAAGATGAAATAAGCCAAACTAAGTATGCTAGAGAAACTGTTGGAAAAATTCCTTTTAACTTCTTTGAGCAGTGTCATATTAACTTTAATTTAAAAAAGGTGATAGTGGGGGACTAGCTAAAAGGTCTTATTTAGAGACTATCCTAGAATGCATGCTTCGAGCCAAAGTCACATTAGCCCAAATTATGGATTATAAGGACCCAGTTTCAGAAGACATGTGATGTCGTAGAGTTGACTTTCAAGTATACAATCTAACAGAGATTAAATTTTATTATTAAAAGTCTTTTTTATTAAATATGGACATTAACAGACTAGATGGTATATGTCTTAAAGAATCAGTCATGGGAATACACAGATCACAAATTAAATTTTAAAGGATCAAATTACATACAGGAATCAAATACTCCTTTACATAAGTAACTTGAGTTCACAGTTATTAAGTGACAATGGCAGGTAAGGGTAGGATAATTCTATTATAAACTTCATTTTTAAAACAAGCTTTAAAAAATATGTTTAAATGGGAAGATACTGGCAATCAAAAAACTTTGTAAATCAATTTCAACTTTACCAAATACAGAAGCAGATATGCTTTTAATTCAGCATGTAACATCAGACATAATTAACAGAAGATCTGTGCCAGACAGTCCAACTTTGAAAAAGAACGCTTATACATAAAACAATACTTTTTGTATTAAAAATAAAGTGTGTAGTATCTAGTGACATACTACTTGTCCTATGAATCCTATGTGCTGTCACCCCTCAAGGTATCCTATTCCTCATCATTAATTTCTCCCTCTTTAACTAGATTAGTCTGATCAACATCTTAGTAACTTACCTTAAAAATTAACAAAACAGAAACAAAAACCTTCTCGATCCACTAATCCCCCTGAGATACCGCCCTACTTTTCTGCTCCCTTTCATAGGAAAGCTGCTTGTCAGATATGGTAGTTCCTGTTTCAATGGTTTTCTGTCTTATTTTAGAATTTAGTGTTTATATCTTTTTTACTAAGATATGCATGTTCAAAGTTCAAGGAATACAGTTTTTAAGACTTAATTTTAAAAAATCAGATGTCCTCTGACTTCTATGCGAATAACTCCTAAATTCACACCCCTAACCAGAAACTCAACTTCACAGTTATATATCGCACTATTTTTTTTTTATTTCTACAGATTTTATAGGTGTCTAAAATACCACATACATTTGTTCCTCTTCCAGTTTTCTTCCCCAACCTGAAATCATATACTCTTCCCCTCACTTACACCTGCCACATTTGTTCTTTTGTTCCCCAGGCATGCCATGATCACTTCTGTTCTCTGCCTGTCAAACTCCTCTTTAGGATCTTCACAGGGCTGGCACATTCTTGCCATTCAGATCTTGACTGAAATACTCTTCTATGATGAGGGCTTCTCTGATTTCCTAGTAAAAGCACCCCAGTACCTATCGCATTACCCATTCTAATTCTCTGCATAGAATTTGTCCTCATTTCCTTTAGCATGCTCATTACAGCAAGGTCAGCGTCTGTCTTTTTCATCACTGTATTCTGAGGATCCAAAGTGCTATCTGAACACAGCTGGCACCATACATGTTTTAGGATAAATACAACAGAAAAAAAAAATTAAATAAAATATTGCTCAAATTTGTATGTCAATGAGCTTATGGGTTAATTTACATATTTTTCTGGAAAAATGTCATTCAAAGTGAAGTCCAAGCTACAACCCTTTAATCACCTTTTTTTTTTTTGGTATTTTGAACTGATTCTTCAGAAAATTTTAAGTTCAATGTGTTCTTCTAAACGGATGACCATCAGCTTCAGAATTCTGTTTTAAAAAGGAAAAGAACGAGACATATTAGATTTATTGAACTTATATAGAATGTTAACATGAAGGTTTTAAAGCAACTTTTAAAGTAACAAAATATACAACTTTTCACAATGTTTCTAAAAGAAACTAATTTTAAAATAGAGAAAAAATGAAAACACTTTAGTATAGAAGTCAAAAGACAAAAGTATAAAAATAATTCCCTCAAATAAAAGTATGTTAATGGTAACAATATAAAAGAAGCAATTTGTAACATTAATAACAAACTGTGGTATAGGAAAGTCAAAGAGTAGACTTTTTAAAGTTATTGGTTTAAAATAGATTGTTAAAACTAAACTATTTTATATAAATAAGGCCCACAGTAGGCACAGAGAAAACAGTTTTTTGTAGCATGTCACCACAAAAAAACAAAAATCAACAAAACACAGAGGAAGACAAAATGGGAAACAAGTGACAAACAGCTAGAAAACAAATACAATTACAAAATGGCCATAGGTAGGTCCCTCCCTATCAGAGTGAGTACTTTAAACACAAATGGGTTAAAGTCACCAAATCAAAAGATACAGACTGGGAAAGAGGTTTAAAAATAACCCAACCTCAGCAGCATGGATGGAGCTGCAAGGGATCTTGCTCAGTGAAAAAAGCCAGAAGGAAAAAGAAAAATACTGGATGCTTTCACTTACAGGAGGAATGTAAGGGATCCAAATAAGGGATCAGGAAGAAAAAGAAGTAAAAGTAATTATAATAGAGTAAAAATCAAAATCAAAAGGCAACTATAAACCAGAGACATTCTGCAGGAGGGAAAGGGATCAAAAGAGGGGAGCACAAGGGACTATGGTGATGGCACACAGGAGAATTGGTGGTAGGAATTTTACAGGAACTACACCTGAGAGGAGAAAGCATACATAGTATAAAAATGAAGAACGATGTAAAAAAAAAATACATAAAATAAAAATATATAAAAATATTTAAAAAATAAATTCCACATACTGCTTAAAAAAAACAAAAAAAAAACCCAATATCCACTATGGTCTTTCTGTAGCTTATGGGTGGAATACATTAACAGAAATGTTTTGCTTTGTTGGGCAGTTTTACCATTATGCAAACATCATAGAATGTACTTAAAACTAGTTAGCCTACTTCACACATAGGCAGTATACAGGGAGCACTGTCACTTATGTGGTCATCTTTGACTGAAATGTTATGGGTCACTGACTGAAACTATATATGCTACCTGCAAGACACTCATTTTGGATTTAGTGATACAGAAAAGTGAAAGACTGGAAAAAGATAGCCCACACAACTGGTAATCAGAAGAGAGCAGGTGTGGACATACTTATATAAGCCAAAATAGATTTTAAATCAAAAACTGTCACAAGAGACAAAAAGGATATTATATAGGGCCTCCCTGGTGGCTCAAGGGGTTAAGCACTGCACTATGAAGCAATCTGTAGCCTCTGCAGCATGAGTTCGATACCCGGCCAGGCAGGTAGAAACCCACAGGGTGAGTAGACCGCTCCTGTCTCACCCGCTGCTCCCTTCAGCAGTGTATTTCAGTCAGTCTGCCTGTTTCTGTCCCCCACTCTGTCTCTGGTGGATCCTCTTACCCCCCTGCATCTCTGACCTGTACCCCAGCTCTTGTATGCATAAATAAATAAATCTTTAAAAAAAAGGGTATTATATAACGATTAAAAGGTGAATTCATCAGGAAAATATCACAATCATACGTCTATACACAGCCAACATCAAAGCATTCAAATATTTGAAGCAAACATTCATGGAAATGAAGTAAGAAATAGCAACACAGTCAATAAACCCAATGTCAATAATGAATAGAAGACAGATAAGCAAACAAGTAAATTTGAACAACACTATAGACCAAATGGTTTTACCAGATGTACACAGAACATTACATTCAATTGCAGCAGAATACACACTCTTCTCAAGTACACATGAAATATTCAGGACACATCACATAATGGGTCACACACACAAAAAGTCTTATCAAATTTAAGAAGACTGAAATCATATCATGTATCTTTTCTGACCAAGATGGGATGAAACCAGAAATCAAGTAACACAAAGAAAAGTAGAAAATTCACAAACATATGCAAATTAAAGAACATACTCTTGAACAATCAATGGGTCAAAGAAGAAATCAAAGCAGAAACTATGTTGAGACAAAACAAACACATCAAAACCTATAAAATGCAGCAAAAGCCATACTTAGGTGGAAGTTTATAATGGTAAATACTATGTTAGAAGAAAAGATCTCAAAAGATCTTGAATTTACACCTCAAGGAATGGGGGGGTGGGCGGAAGGGGATTAAGCCCCAAGTTACTATAAGGAAGGAAATAAATATCAAAGCAGATATAAACAAGACAGAGAACAAAAAAACTCATTTTCTTAAGCCAATTATTACCTCGATCTAAAGCCAGGAGGAACTCCACAACTAAAAAAAAACATAGGACAATATTTCCAATGTATACAGCTGCAGAAACCCTCAACAAATTAACAAACAAAATTTGACAGCACATTTAAAAGCTCCATACACCATGATCAAGTGAGATGCAAAAATGGCTCAACATACAAAAATAAGTCAATATGATACACCAAAAGCTAAAAAGGACTTGTTCATCTCAATGCAGAAAAAACATGTAACATAATTCAATACCTTTTCATAATAAAAATACTCAACGAACAAAAAATAAAAATTTCTTAAATAATAAAAGGTCTATATGAGATATATATAGCTAACATCATGCTCAGCAAAGTGACAAATTTCCCCTAAGATAAGAAACAATCAAGAAAGTGTAATCTCATCACTTCTGCTCAATACAGCACTGGAAGATACAGCTAGAGCAATCAGGCATGGAAATCTTTGGACTAATTTACTTAATTATCCTAAGCCTCAGAAGTCTTACTAAGGAGGTTTACTGTGAAGTAGAAAGGATATAATGTACAGGAATATCTATTATTATTTATTAACAAAATAAACACAAAGGGCAACTAATCCTCTAAAAAGCTAAAAGGAAGGTTTAAATAAACAGTTGCAGCATGACTAACTATTAGTATCTTCACCATATAAGAGTTTCTAAAAGTTATCCAGTAAAAGGTTAAAATTCTACCAAGAAAATTAAAAACAGCAAAAAATGTAAGAGTTAAAAAAAAAAAAAAAACCCACAAATGGTTAGCAGATATAAAAGTTACCCCTGGCTAGAAATCAAAGAAACTTAAGTAAAATTACATTCTAATTAAATATTAGTGATTCTTTAAAAATTATACTTCATATATCTATCATTCAGCAAATATTTACTGAGAACCAATACAAGTATCCAACACAAGGCTGATGGTAGTTTAAAAGTGGTGAAACAGTCATAGCCACTATATTTGAGGTGCATCCCAGAGACATGCACAAAATGTTCTGTGAATATACAAGTGGGACACAGAAAGAAGTTAAGGAAGCCTTCTAAAAGAAGTGATATCTAAGCTGTGATCTGAAGGATAAATAAAAGCTCATGAAGTAGATCATGAAAGGCTATATGAAGGTTAAAAAAAAAAAAAAAAAGCCACTGCAGACGGTGCCTTGGCAACATGAAGACACTGACAGATCATTCCAGCTACAAGAAAGACTGAAATGGAAGGAGATAGTATTAGAGTTAGGGAGAGGCAATGTAATATATAGGTAGAGGTTATAGAAAGAAATACAGGAATGTATTACAGATGCTGAGATGGATCCAAGTGAGGACAAAAGAGCAGTCAGGAGTATCACCTAAGTTTGGACCTATCTGGGAGTTGGAAAGGAAACTCGGGAGGAATAAATTGGGGGGGGGGCAGAGGAGAGCTGAAAGCAATGGCTGACATTTATTGAACTTTAGTATGTGCCAGGCATTCTTCAGTTTTTCTTCATTTAAGAGGCTCAACAATCATACAAGGTATGCTCTATTATCTCCATTTACACAGGAGGAAACTGAAACACAAAGTAGGTCAGATGGCCAAGGTCAGCAGTAAAACTGAGATTAAAAACTGACAGTTCAGCTTGAACTATGCCCTTAATCACTACGTTAGATACCTCCAGAAGTACTTTAGATGATGGACTTACTTTGATATGTTGTGTTCAAGATTCCTCTGACATATGCAAGAAAATAAATGTCTAGTAAGCAGTGGGAGGTGAGGGCTTGGCATTCAGGAAATAACAGGAGACAATATAAACCGAGAGACATCAACAAAACTATGTAAGTTATTGTATGGTCTTCTCTAGTAAGAAAATATAAAGTGAGAAAAAAAAGTTAACATTGATATTTGATGAAAAATTAGTATTTTAGAGACAGGCAGAAAAGTAGCTAGTAAAATGGGGAGGAGGCAGAGAGGAAGAGAATTTAAAGACATGGGCTCTGGAAACAGTTATGGATTAGTCCCTTTACTAGCTGTGGCTCTTACAGATAGTCACTTCATCTCTATGCATTTTTTTAATTAATTCTAAAGTAAAGATAATCATGTACCCGCCACATACAGTTGTTTTGAGGACTGAATTCAGTATGTTACATGTTTGAGACAGTACATAGAAAATAGCAAATGTTTTAAGTATGACTAGTAATAATATGAAAAAGGACCAAACAGAGAAAAGAAAAATCAACAGTCACTAACATTAAAGGAAAAGAATGTCTAAGTAAGTGGACAACATTAACACTGCAGTGAGGATAAGATGACTATAAAGTGTCCATCAGGCCTTGAGGGGATTATGCTAAAGTGAAATAAGTAAGAAAAAGAAAGACAAACGCTATACAATCTCACTCAATCTCACTCGCTTGTAGAATATAAAGGAAAACAAACCCTTCGACTCTAATGACACCCTTATTTATGGTTTCCAAAGGTGAAGGAGAGAGAAGGGGAATATGAAAAAAGGGGTCCACTGGATGGTGGTGGACTGTGATTAAAAATCTGGTGCTAGGCATGGGGAGAAAATGTAATCTTGAAGCCTATTTGCAAACTAATGTTA